CCGATTCCAAAATAATGATTGTCCGCCGCCGCCGTTGCGGCCTCCGCTGCGATGTCATTGGTCGTGTTTTCCGATTCTCCGTCGTCGTCGCCGCCACCGCCGTTACAACCGTCAATTACCACCGCCGCCGCTTCCCATCGCCCGCGCGTTGCGTAATAACTACTTTATATTTTATAATATCCTACTCGGTCCCGTGCTGCGGTGCGGACCGATGATTACTTTCGGTTTTATTTTTATTTTTTTTTTTATTTTTTATACTTTTTCCCTCCCCGCATTTCCCTGCTGCACCGTATATTTTATTCCCGCGGCCGCGTAACGTATACATTTGTGTACAGTGTCTCTCCGGGTGTTTAATGACCCCCACCCCCCTTACCCTAACCACCCCATGATCGCCGCCGGACCGCTGCAGTAATATACCCGTACGCACGCCGATATAATACATCTGTATGTATACATTTTTTTTTTTTTTTTTTTTTTAAAAAAACCTGTCATTTTTCCGTTGTATAATTCGACGGCGGAGACGACGACGACCATCCGTCGGGTGCACGCGGCGGCGGAATACCGAACGGATAATGGCGTATAATGATGATTGCTCATGCCGCCGATGGCCGAGAGCTACGCGTATAGAGACGTATCATACGTGTATGCAACAAAGGAAAAAGACGCGAGCACTAGCGGTGCATCATCTACATGTAGAATATATATATTTTATTGTAAACTGCGGAGACTTGAACGCCGCCACTGTCGGCATGCCGGTGCAGCTAATATGATCCGCGGTGCGTTGCAGCACTTGCTCTTACAGCCGACAAGGTTTCTGCGGTCGGGAAGGTTTCGATAATCGTATGTTTTGTATCTTTTTCGCGCAAATGATCGAGCGCGTTTTGTGCGGTTCTGAAATGTAATGTCATTCGCGCTTATATCGAAAATCACATGTACCGCGTTCACCGCTGCACTTGCAACAACGCGAGATCATTTACCCGCACTCGTATACACGTTCGATGTGTATAGTGTCTAATATTATTACGTGTGTGTGTGTGTATTTTTTTCTTATTTTTCTTCTCCTCGGAGTGATGAAAAAGGCAGATGGCAGGAGGGCGCTCGTCCAACATCATTAGTCCGCCGCCGAGAACAATAATGACAGGTTGTGGGCATCACGTCGCGACGAGGGGTATGCGTACATATTATATATACATACATGTATAATATAGGTACTCGCATTCTTGGCGATATATGTATGTGTATACGCTGTGTGTGTGTGTGTGTGTGTGTGTGAGTGTGTTGGACACCCTGAACATCGTAGAAATTTCGTGACTGTACGAGTTTCATGTCAGGGTAGCCAACCCTCATGTACAGGTATAACTTAGCGAATTATATAATATACCATATACGTGAACGTGACGGTATCGTGTGTACATGTGCACATTGTTTTGTGTTTGTGTGGGCAAAGGCCGCAAAGTTTTTGTATGGGCGAGTGCGCAATGATTTATACTGGACGGACGCGCATGCATTGTGAAGAAATTAACAATTTTATCGCTCTGAACGATAAATTATATCCTTGTGTTTTTTTTTCTACTCGCGTTTCATATGTGCGTACCTACATGAACACTATATAAGTATACAAGACGAGCCGCGCGCGAATCATTAAAAGATCTACCGGTTTAGCAGCGGCCGGTGCATCCCAGAAAAGTAGAAAAGAAAGCCTACTGGATGCCATTTACGTATATCGATCCGTATCTTTGTCGTTGTGTTTGCATATACGTACACATACAACATGTGAGGATCGTGCGACCGAAATGTTCGGATTGTCCAGACCAATAAATTACCGCGACTTGTTACAATATGTTTGTGTATTATTGTGTTTGGACGCGCGTGTATTAATATCGTACGATTTAATTATTTGTCTTCGGTAAAATGCATTTGTTCGCGTATAAATATTATTATTCGAATTCGAATTGGTGTACATGCGAGTCGCGTAGGAAAATTACACTCGATTATCTGATGTGTATGAGTACGGGCAAATATTATGTACAAATATGTAAATAACTTTATGGGCTCGTCTTCGGAATAATATTAATCGATCGCCGATAACGTTACCTCGCGCGCGTGTATTGTAATCGTGCGTTCTCGACTCACGAAAATCGCGTCGATAATGACGAGCTATTGATGAACACGTATTGCGCTTCGTACGGTATCGGGTCGAATGCACGTGTGATGTGTACACACTTTTCGGTGTGTGACCACGTTAGATGTATTATTATTACGCTGCACCGCGAGGTTAATTTAGGACGAATTAATGTTTATTATTTTTGACAGCCGACTAAAAGGGTTTTCTGGTTTTGGTTTTCCGTGTGCTAGTTGGTTTTAGTTTTTTTTTTTATTTTACTTATTCCTCTGTGTTTACGTGTGCGTGTACTTATACGTACACTCACATATACAAACATATATCGACGATCTTATATGTACATATACGTATATATATCTTCACCACCTTATAAATGGAGACACGTCGATTCATAATACGGAAAAGTCATTTCGTAATTGATGGAGTTCCATTTAATGATATGTAAGGTTTCGATGCCACTCGTCGTCAACACAAAATGTCCGAACGTAATACGTTTTCGTTCCACAACAGAGCATTGGAACGATGATGGAATTCCAATGGCACGCATCATTGGTATCTACACACGATTATGTTCGTATGACACCGAGGGGATAGATTTCAACGCCCGAGTGTCCCTTTGGCGGCGGCGATAACTAGCGAACGGATTAGGGACGATCGTATTTTTTTTCTTTCCACCGTACGTTTATCGTTTTCGGGTCTTCGGGATATGCTTTTTGTATCTATTACCGTCTGCAGTACACGTGTTTGTCGTCCGTTCTGAGACCCGGTTGCGGTTAAACGTTTTTCGGGGTACACCGCGAGTGTATCTACGACGTACAGTGATGTGCGACGACATGTTTTCGTAACTGAATATACTTTGTGTATAAAATCGGTCGCTAATACACGTAAAACATTTAATGCAGTAAATAAAGTATACGTGAATATAATACACGATTTGCGAACGTGAATTTTATATGTATATGTCGGTTACCCCGAGTAAAAGTCGTGGCGAAAAATTATATTCGACCGTTTTATCATGTGCGGTGTACGTACGAGAGGCTCGCGCGCATTCCATCGTCGCGAAATGTCTACGGCAATTGTTTCGTGAATTGTTTTATGGGACCGGTGTCTGTCGCTGAACCGTTATCTGGTCGCGGCCACGGTTCGTAAATAACTCGCCGTCCCCAAAAGTGAATTATGCACTGCTGCCGTGAAAAAACAATGGATCCAAATCATTAGTGCGCAGGAAATGGCTGCGGCGACTTTCGGGAAAGCTTGTACACCAATTTATTTGTAACGCTCGTTACAGTAGTAAACCGACTTAATAAATCAGAAGGTATATTCTACGTTGTCGCATCAACGAACCGATGACGACGACGACGAAATGGTAGCCAGTTTCGCGTTGGAAAACAATGTGCGTACGTACACGAACGGGAGAGGAGTTGTTTGAAAACGTCGTCGGTCGATGTTTGTATGCAAAAATACATCGTTTCACTGCACGCGTAGTAGTAAAAATCGTCGTGGCTGACCGGTCGAAGTAAATAATGCTTGATCATCGTCTCCGTCGCCGTGTCATGTCACGTTTTTTTTTTCCACCGTATTTCGTCGGTTAGATGCACGCAAATTCACAACCAAATCGAATCCGCAGCGGTCATAGCCGTCGTAAATCACCTGTGCGCGCACTCGCGGTCGTGTGGAAAACATCCGGATTTATATATATTAGTATATTTTCGCGGTCCCGCTAGATTAGGATATATCGTGTATACGTTTACCTACACGTGTTCGCGTACACACTCCGATAATGTTGCCGTTCGAATAAACACGTTTTGCTTGTTAATCCGTAATTAACCAATAATTGTGTTAGAGTGTGTGTATGGTTTTTTTTCCCTATCTTTAATGGCCCCTGTCAGCCGTACAGTGCCACGGCAGCATCACCGAGATCAGGCGCGCGTAGACGACTGGGATATTTCAATTACACACACAGAGAGAGACGTATACTCGCATGGCGAATAAAAAAACTAAAAAAAACTACACATTTATACAGGTGTATAAGTAATATATACCTTCGTTTCGATCCGCGGACGCGTGCATCGTTTAAAAACGTTCATATCAAACTCCGCAGCGATCCCAAAAGATTAGTCCGATTTTCGTCGTCCGGTTCCCGTTGTATTTCGTATTGTTACAACGTGATATGGCACCTACGGGCGAATGAATTATTTACTTACGCACGTAGTGCATATTCTACTGATGCGTCTATGTATAATCGTGTTGTCGTCGGTTGCGGTGTTGACAAATACCCCGCGGCTAAAATACCCCCGACGGCAATGATTTTCTTTTTTTCACGACGAATTCCTTTCCTCGGACTGCAGTCATCACGAAATGCTTACGTATAATTCATGCGTTTAAACTTGTCCATTACACCCATAGATAATACGATTTACACTGTTCAACGTGAACGCGTGCGTGTAAAATTATACCTCCAGTGATAGTTTTTACTTTTTTCCACAATTACGTGCGCGTCTACAGGCTGGTCTAGTTGTGAGCGTACCACATTATCTCGATTGTTAAACGTTTGTGTTGTTAATAAGATTCGTCAAGGACGCACACTGATATTTTTCTTAACCGGTAAAACGGCGGCGTTTAAATATTATATCACGTCCGCGTTCGGTTTTTCTGTTCCGCTCCCGCGCAGTACGTATGAAAATATGCCGTGTATCGGATAAAACAATTTCCAATTAGGCGTCTTGATCAGTGGGTGATTTGTGGCCGTTTCGTACACGCGCACACCGATACAAATACGTACCCGTAGGAAATCGTGTACGTCGTATAATACCCAACGTGAAGGCGTATAGTAGTAGTAGTAGTGTAGTAGTAGAACTATTAGTAGTTGATGGATAAAATGGCAGAAGAGTGTTCGGTACGCGCGTATATGTGCACGCAAGAGAATCGATTAAATAAAGACTCCTCCTCCTCCTACTACTCTCGTCGAATGTCGCAAGGCATACGTATTTTTCAGCCAGCTGGTCGGGTACGTTTATTACACGTACATTTATTATTCCGTGTACATCTACAATACAAATACCGGTTTCGGGACTCCTCCGCCACCGCTGCCGCAGATCAATCGCACGGATTTTCGTTTCAATAAATAATATTAAAATATACTTATACACGGTACATATGACGATCAACGGTCGCGATGTGCGCACTGTTGCGCATCTGTGCGAAAATAATTCCTGCGCATTTCATGCGTTTCTAAAATTTCGTTCGGCGGAAACCCAGTACCAGCCCGGTGTTTGCTGGCGAACAGTGGACCACCAAAATGCTTCTGTCTTTTACCGAGTGAAAATAAAAACGAATCGGTTGAGGGGAAAAAAAAAAAAAAAAGAAGATTATTCATTCGGACGGCTATCTAACTCGAGCCCATCACTACTTAGTCGATCCACGTCTGTAATACGGTTCATCAGTGTTTCTTTGTAATATCACTGCGCTTTCAGCGGTGGTACGCAAATACGCAATAGATCGTGTTCGTTACAATGGTACATAGGAGGCATACTACGCGTACGTACTCGTGCGCTGCTATGCACACACATACAATATTACGTATTATAAACCGTTTTATGAGTCCGTCGGCCGCGTCGCGGTAATGTGTTTTTTATTGGCCGGCATAAATTTACGTTAGCAATAAACCCTTTCGTCGTCATCGTTCCCGCTATCACGCACGCGCGCGCGGTGCAACAAAATATAAACATAATGTATTGATAAGACTGTATTATATTGTAACAGCAATCGCTCGCAGACACGACGTAATGCGTATTGCGGATCGACGTAATACGCGCGCGACTTATACGGGTATAAATAACGTGTAGTGCGCGTGCGTGCGTATTCGCGCACAGAATCCGGTGCTAGTAGACCGTCGGAAGACGCCGCACGCGTTTCGTGTACCGACGAAATGTACACCTCGCAATCGAATCGTGCGCGGCGATCTTACCAGGAGATCGTCTGCGGCGGAAAATCTCCGTACGACTACGTTTTCGAATTACACGCGTAGGTACACGTATGCAATGTTACGCAGTATGTTGAACAATGTTTGTCGTCGTTGGTCCTGGAACGTTTACCGCGGTATGCGGTAAGAAAATTGATTAATTTAACACGGCGTAGACGTTGGCGAATGTCTGAAATATTTGTCCGTTGGAATCATTACGAATACACGCGCGTGTAAAGTTTCAATTATTACGCGTGGATACAATATATATATGTATAGTTTTGCGGACGGTAAGGATGGGCGGTGGGACGAAGAAATAACTTGTGGACGCGACCAGTCGCACGTGCATACCAGCTTCAGCAAGGGAGATGGCTATCTGCGGCGACGGCGGTTTGCATATTATAATCCGAATAATGGCGAACCCGGTCCGACGAGACCGATACATCATTTTGGGGTAGGATTAATTTGTTGAAACGTTGCGTTGCGGCCGGGTCAACATGTAAACAGAAGACGACGGGACGAGTCCCGCGCCGCTCGCCGGACGAAACAGCAATGCGAATTACCGGCGCTGCAGCCGAGCAGCGACCCCGAAAAATAATTGGATCGATACGTCCGCGTGATTTATACTTATCCCGTTGGCGGAATATCCTGGCGCGCGTGTCGTTCACCTCTGTGCACCCCTCTGGCCCCTGCAGACCGCACGGAAGCGTCCTCGCCAAGAATAACGTTCATAAACAGTATACATGTGTAACATACACGCGCATGTATTTATTATGTCAAGCGTATTATAAATGTAGTGTGCAGTCATTTTTTTTTTTTGCGCGTTTCAAACATAATTTTCCGCAGAATCCGGTAATGCTTGTTTCTGCTGTATCTCTCTGCTCTCCGTATTTTTCTCTCTTCCGCCTTCCACGCGGTACAAATGTAACCGATAATTCACACGCGCGGGTTTTTCTGTCAGCGCGCGCGCCGGGGCCGGCTGTCAAAACGTAACAAATTGCTCGGAGCCGCCGCGCCGAAACTCGACGACGGCAACTGCGACGATGACCACATAATTAGAGAAGAACTGGCCGAAACCACCAGCCACCAAGCTACACACACACACACACGTAAATATATTAATACGCGCGTGTAACGTGCACCTTCTACGGATCACACACTACACACCGCGAGCAACGTGTGCCCAGTATTTCATTTCAGACGTTTTCTCCGCATTTCGACGACGGTTATATTATTATTCGAAACACAACGATCGAGGCTAATGCCCACGTGTAAAATTATACTATTCCACTATCGCCGTGTTCCGTGCAGTAGACCGTGCGTTTCGTGTTCTGAATACATACATTCTTCTTCTTCTCCTTCGCCTTTCTCCCAACTATTTAGGGTCGGCCACCCTTGTCCAACGCATCCACCCGTCTCGATTTTCTACGTCCCTTACGCATACACCAAAGTCCCTCATATCATTCTCAACCGTATCCGACCGTCTCATTTTTGGTCTTCTTCCACCTCTTTTCCTTTCAACGTTAATTTTCATTACAAACACATATGTTATGTGTGTAAATGAAAGACTTCGATGAAAATAATTTTTACTTATTATTTTATCGTTTACATCGAGTCAATAATATCACTCGTTTGACGGCCGTTGGTAGCCGTACACGGATAAATAATTGAATATTATCAACTATCGGATGTATGTAGTGTAACGTATTAATTGCAAATAAAATTACACAATAGGATTCCTCGATTTGGCAAGGACCACATATTCTACTCGGGAGACACGGTGATAGTGGAATAGCAGTTACCTTGAGAGCCTTGTCCGTCATTTTCATCCTGCGAATATATGTATGCAGATATTTTACGCCATTAAAATGGCGTTGTTAACATTCTTTGTTTGTTTTTTTTCCTCCGAATAAACAATTAAAAAATGTTGAACCCGACTAAACACGATTACGTATTGTTATGTAATTATACGCGGGTGCAATTATTATTTTTACGTTCAAATTATAATATATACTTCCCGTATATCGGAAAATTAGTATACACCGCACGGTTTTTGGAACAAAAAAAAAAAAATTGGTTTCTTTATATTTCGTTTGTGTGAATTGAATAAATGTAAAAACAAAAAAATTATGTTATTTCATTTATTCGTGAGCGCACACACTAGCACATATTCATAATATTAGAATCAGTTATTATAGTTACTATTTATCCACGACCACAAAATGCATAATATATTTACATCTTTTAGATATAGCGTGCTGAAATTAATGATATTTCCTCGTAGTTGATTTTTGAACCGTATTTTTTTGGTTTTGATTCGTTTCGAACTGTCCAACATGTGGTTCAAACGACGTCGGAGTTTTTTTTCTACACAAAAACATGAGATCACAGTAACGCGGATAAAGATGAGGAGTTTTTTATTTCCCCCTCGAAAAAAAAAAACAGAAAGCGATAATATAATATTCCAACATTTTCATTTACATTAATCCGGTGGATTTTAATAATGTAAACACTTATCGCAGTCACACGCGCGCCCACACTAGTTTCGAGTGTTGTCCACACAACACCACTGTTATATTCTTACGTAATGTACACACACATATATATATATATTCCTCTATGCGGAATGCGCTTCTGGTGCGCGCGTAGTTAGCATTGAGCCGGGAGACCATATATACTCGCGACAGGCTGTTAACGATGTGGTTTCGGTCATCTGTTGATCGTCGTCGTCGTATACACTCGTATTTCGTTGCAGTTAGTGTAGTTATCTTCTTAGTGGATCTTTCTCTATATCTCTCTCTCTCTCTCTATGTTCGGTGGTTAAATTCAATTTATGATCAACTGAAGACTTCGGGTCGTTCACCACTCGTGTGTCCACTGCGAGTACTGTGTGTTTCGCACTGTCAAACATATGTATTTTTGACGGTTTTTTTTTTTTTTTTAATTTATCCGAGCCCCGTACTCGAACGATATTTTGTGTGCCTCGGTCGATCGAGAATTAGTATACATCGACCGAACAATCCAGAATTATTATAACTATTATCGTTATCATCATCATCTAAATCGTAGTATATGTATAAACGAATGCATTTGCGTTGTGCGTGTAAAAAAAAAAAAAATTAGGATAAAAAATTTTTTTGGTGGTTTCGAATAACGCACGTATTTATTGGTTTTTCGTGACAAAGCGTGATAAAAATCGCGCAAATAATTTGGCTGTAACGTTATGTGACCCGAGTGCTATTGGTCTATTCGCCATCGATAAACGTACCATTTTCTGTTCGAATAATTATGTGATGTAGTCGAAAATCTGCTTGTCGGTTTTCGACTATATTATTACGATAATTAACCACGTTTTAAATATCTCTCGTTGCCAATTCGCCTTTTAAGTACATCTGAAGCTATCACAAGTCCATCCGTATATTATTATGTAGTATTCCCGCTGTGCTCGTCACGACATCCACCGTCTCTACAATATACAATATGTTTAATATGTTTACTTACCATACGTTATACTATTATTATATTGTTGGTTTTGCATAAAAGCAAACAAGAGTTGACAACTTTTCGATATCACCCGATATTATTGTAATTCATACGAATACAATATACATATTAATGTATTTGGTTTTATCCACGTGAAATCAATTAAATTTCCTATTATATTTTCCATTACCTATCGTATGTTATAATAGTTATTTTACAGATAACCATTTTAATATTTATCCGTTCATAATATATTGTATAGAATTTGATCGGGCATCATGCGAGTATAAAACGCATTAATTATCCAGACTATATGTATTTTATTTGTATTCATAAATTACGTATAAATAGTAACCATATACACGTTCATACTAAACATTTATATACACAAATACGCTTTTCTTTATACTTGTTATTATCTAAAACGATGTTTCGATCCTATAGAATATGTAATTTATACCCATTTGAAATGTATTTTCGATAGTATAAGCTATCGAAACGCACACACACACACTTATTTACGGTGTGTTGTCGACCATCTAAAGGTAGAACCCGTCAAGTTCGATTGGCCGAAAACGAGAACGCTTATAGTTCGTATTTTATGGCTCGTTAAAACGACGCGACGAGAATTCAATTATAAACAATATATACGCGCGCGCTCGCTGTGTTATTATAATATATAATATATGAATAGTCTACAGAACGATTTCTAGCCACTCCGGCTACAGCAATGTTTATATGTATAACACTGATATTCTATGGTGTGTACACAATTTAATTTTTCTGGTGCTAATAGAATTGTGTTTCTTTTCCCCGTTTAGGTGTCAGCTTCGGATCCGGACTGCGGCGTCAACTCGATGGTGAATTTCACGTTGTCAGAAAACAGCGGACCGTTCTCCATCAAATCGGCCACGGGCGAAATATGTTTGGCTAAACCGTTGGACTACGAGACCCGAAAGCTGTACGAATTCCCGGTGGTAGCCACGGACAGGGGTGAGTGAATATCGAAAATAATATTTATGTTATATACCGTACTGTGCACGATTTCAATATTATAACCAGCGGCTATTAGATTCAATTAACAACGCGATCCTCGGCGATAATTACTCGAAAAATCATTATACGCGTATTATATAATTACACTAATGAAAAAAACGCCTTTGGGCGAGTGCGAGTACCATCTGTCTCTGTTGCATACGAGTGTATTTGTATATGAAAAAAATAACAACGCCAGCAATAGACTATAGCGTTTCAGCAGCTGACGCATACTTATATATGCGTATATGTTATGGAAATGTAACCTAATGAAACGTGTGATAAAACACGACCGTTTTTTTTTTTTTTTTACAATTTTACTCGTTTCGATCGAAGATTTATTATTTAAATTTATACGCAAAGATTTTTGGCGAATCAAAACATACGTATATATATATGCATTTACGCGAGCAAAGTGAATAACGTACAAGACCCTTTTGCGCTGTCGGCGATCACTGCACGTTTAGTACTGAAATTCCCGTCCAGATTTTCGGACAAACTCGCAGCTCACCTCCACTATAAATTTATACGCGCATATTTTTTTATTCGTTACCGTTCTCGCATGACCTTTTTTGTGCCGCGCGCGTTTCCGTCGATAAATCAAAGACCCAACTCGGGCGTTCGCGTAAACCGGTTGACCCGCAGACACGTTCGATTCTTATCAGTCAGTTTCGAGTGCGCAGCACCTCCGAGCGATCCGTTGAAATCAATCCGACCATACACAACGCATATATCTCGGCCTCATCTTCCTAAGGCCACCTGCTGCTGAGTGCCGTCATGGCTCATCCCTTGCCTTTCAACACACACACAACTCTATTTCCCTTTCTACTTTTACACCTCTCTTTCTGTCGGCTTAACTTATCACTCCTTTTCTCCCTCTGTATCGTTTCATCTCTCCGTCTATCCAACTTCTTCACTTTGTCCTGTTTTATTGCCGCTTTTCATCATCCGTGTATTACAACATCGTATACACACCAAACCGCGCACAGCCGAGGATCGCCACATGCGATCGTCTTGAAAATATTATAAGCGTGCCACCGTTACGATTTACGATGCAATCGCCTCGGCACGTGTATCTAATACATTATTAACATTCTTACAGGTGGCCTGAGTACGAGTGCCGTGGTTAAATTGGACGTGCAGGACGTCAACGACAACTGGCCAGTATTCTCGCCCTCCGAGTACAACGTGTCCATAGTGTGGAGCCACCGTGAACAGGGACCAATTGTAACGGTTCGTGCCAAGGACTTAGATTCCGGATCATTCGGCGTTGTTTCCTACTATTTGATATCGGCTAAAGGTAAAACGACAAATTTTCGCTTGTTATCCCATTGCTATCCCTTCACTATAGATCTAACATATGGTGCAGGTACACATAATATCGGTAGACGTACAGAAAATAGTATAAACTGTCTGTATACAATATTTCTCATTTCCCATGACCTGCGCACGTACCTATATAATAACTCCAACGGACGAGAAAAACGTTTGCGTGTGTAATTACAATATTCGTATACTTATGTATAGTAACATTAAAGAGATTATTATATCTGAAATCGAAATAACTTACATCTTAAGCCATCTATATAGATGTATTGTAATTGTACGTAGACCACAATAGTCTTCGAATTTAACTGTAAATGACGAACGTTTGTGTTTCAAAAGTACATTGTTCGATTCACGACGTAAGAATATTATGTCGGGTTACATGATTTCTTGAATTTTGTGGTTTCCTTGCTCGGTCTTTTTGTTATAACACACGAATATCCTGCGCGCATTATTGTAATACATTCACACAAAAGACGCTGTTCCTATATACAACTACTTATCCGACAGCCAAACATTATTCGATATAATTCTTATTATTTTTTTTTATCACATTTACCGACGCGATCTAACGGAAACCAAATAATTTACACGCACGTTATAATATTATGTTCGTTATTCGAAGTGATAAGCATATATTTATTCGTATATATTCTAAAACATTTCTATGTTAAACTAGTACTGACTTCGTGTGTCTGCGTAGACGTTTTTTTTTAATAGTCCTGCAGTAGCTGCTATCTTATACAATCAGATAATATAACTAACTAGTATAGTTAGTACAACTAAAAATGTATCCAGAGAATCTAATAAAATTCAAAAAACATTTTAGCAAATGATTCAATCGATATTACTTTTCGTCATTAAATCCGTCGTAACAAGAAGTCGTTTCAGAGAAAACCCTATTTTACTACCAAATGCATACACAAACGTAAGTATGCGCGTATACAACGACCACCTATACTCTCTCATTAGCATATAATAAGTATGCGACGTAAAATATGTGTGTACGTTTCATCCCGCCCGCTTGGGCTGTGCACCCGACGATGTAATAATATTATATTGTCTTTGACGAGGAAATTGGCGAAATGAGATTTTGTTATCCAAATACTCATAACAATGCAATTAGTTTTAAATCCTCGTGAAATATATTTTTAATACGATTAATGGATTTTAAAATATATAATCTCCTTGGTGTTGGACTGCTGAGGGTCTTTTCAAAGGATTTTTGCCCGCAATACATTGATTTTTAACTAACACCTTTATGAAAAAAAATGAAAGGAAAAAATGAATCTCAAATTAATATCAAATTAACATCATAAACGAAACTCGTCAGCGTCTTGGAAAATGTTTTAAAATACATTCTATATGGAGTATTCGAACATATTGACATCGTAAACCGCTGTACATCGCTAACCGTTCGTCGTACGTTGTTTGTTGCAGGACCGGACAGCGAGGATGCGGATACCTCGTTTCGGTTGGACGCCAACACCGGCGAGATATGGGCCGCTCAACTGCGGCCGGGCGTCTACCGGCTGCTGGTGGCCGCCAGAGACGGTAGCGGGTACGAAGCCGCTCAAGTGGCCCAAGTTCGGATTGCCGTGCTTACTGCAGACGCTGCTAAACCGTACGCGGTGTTTGTCAAGTCGCAGTACTCGTTCGTGGTGCCGGAAGACGCACCAGTCGGCACCACCGTCGGTACCGTCGCTGTGTCACCCAACCAATCAGGTACGGAATTTACGCTCGTATAAAATATTTAAAATACTTACGTATGTACACACATGGTTTTTACGTTCTTCGTGCGCTCGCTAACACGCTCAGTACGCGTATACTACTGCTGCAGTGGGTGGGCGAAACAGAATCCGTGGCAAAGGGTTGTGTGGCCGGTCCGTGCGCAAATGTGCGGCGGCACTACCGGAATCTTTCGTGCGGAAACTTCGTCACACGTATGTTTATCCTTGTATATATATATATGTGTGTGTGTATTTGTGCGTGTGGTTGAGAACGGCAACGACGTGGAGCAAGACACAAAAGGCGAATATAATATGTAAAAAAAAAAAAAACGGAATGTGTACACGCGTACGTACAACGCAATATTTCAAAGTCGTGAAGTACGCTGGCGACTTGTAATACATCTTTATTTCGCATTCGATCACGATCCGTTCCGGGGGGGTAAGTTATATAAAGTACTATACATCCATTGCGATTAAATACACATATCCATACGTACATTTACTACCTCTCTCTCTCTCTCTCTCTTTTTTTATCTCTCTGTGTCTCTGAATCCGACCACGGAGTCGTGCGGCATATATTATTATTACGTCGCGGCTGATCGAAATTCGGTGGCCGTCACGAACTTGGTCGCCCCTGTAGCTCATTATAATATACGCACCAGCAGAATAGTCGCGTTCGAAATGATCGTCGTCGAGACGTACACGCGCGACTTTCTGATTATAATTCACCTACTAACTAACTAACTAACTAACCAACTAGTTCGCCCGTTTACATCACATAGTATATGTGTATGAATTATATCTAATCGACCCGATCGATCGGTATAGTTATTTATATATTTATATTATATTCTCGCGCGCTCACGGTACGGCAAATGTCTAGACAGATGTATACGCGTGTGCGTTCCCGTGATGCACCCGACGACGGCCAGTCGTTCGCTGAAAAAAAAAATTCTTTCTTAGACATTAACTACATTTATGTTATATCGACGAAAAACGCATACAACTCTTGTGTCAGGTGATGCATATAATAATACGTAAACGCACGCACGCACGTATAAATATAACGACCACAATTCATGTCTGTTAACTTATCTCGCCCCGGCCTCGCAGTGGTTATTTATCACCACCGCCGTCGTTGGTCCAAACGAATTGCTCGTCGTTATTAAAATTTTATTCAAATTAAATAAACCGGAACGTAGCGTTTTTTTTTCCTCCGGCCGCGACGGCGACGAAGACAACGACGAAGAATTTACGACGAGTCAACAATAGGCGAAGTAGAAGGAGATTGGGGAAAAAAAAACGATATCTGTCATATTTCGTTGCGTAGACCAGCACTACTGTTCCGATACGTCGCTTTGAGGCGACGTCGATGTTCGCGATTTTCGTACACTCGGCCAAAAAGGAAACAAATTGTATATATTCTTTCTGAACCTGGAGTTCCGTTCGGCTACGTGCGTATCGTGTCGCAGCATCATCCCTACCTCGCGGCGATCAACCGGTATTTCTGGATTTCAATTAAACGTTAATCTCCGCGCCCTCTCGGCGGAATGGCACGCGATACATATCCGTATACCACGATAGGTGCCTTCCGATTTATAAATAATACAATCGGCGCGTGCATGTCGATATCGATGTCTATCTCGGCGGAGAAAATCGACCGGGGAACGCACGCATCAAACATAAAATATCGTATCCGTTCCGCGTTACTTTTTCCGTTTCCGTTTTTTTCGTTAAAATTAATCTTTCAATCGAAAACAACGTTAATTAAACGCGCTCAGCGGATTTTATATATTTTTTCGCTTCTTCGCAAACCGGTCCCGTCGAATTTGTGTAATCTTCACCGCCACCGCGCGCATAACGGCTACCGGTCAGTTTTGGGTGGTGCGCACACCACACGCTGCATATGACTATAATATATATAATACGTCATATTACATTATATTTTTATACGTGTACACGCGCGTTTATGAATATTTAAACGGACACACGTATTCCATTGTTGACAACGGGTTCGTCACTCAACTTACACGTGTATATAAAAGTATGTGCGCGTGAGTGCGCGTAATATGCGACTGTCTAATTGTCTCGATGTCGTCGTATTTCAAATGATTAAGATAATTTATGGGCAAACGTTGTGTACATAAAATATAATATATTAACGCGTGCGAGATATATTGAACGACAGGAAAACCAAGAAAAAAAAAAAATCATATAAAACATTCACGTGGCGCGCTTACCCTACGTGTTTGTGCGAGCTTATAATACGTACACGTATTATTATGCGCATAAATGCGCGCGTCCGCATATTTAATCCGAGTAAATTAATAATAAATATATTATGTCGTGTTCCATACAGGTTTGGACGACCCGGACTCTCTGAGGTACGCCATACATTCGGACGAGGAGGCGGTCGGATATTTCGCCATAGACCCCGTGAAAGGAGTGATCAAGACCACGGCCGTGTTGGATCACGAATTGTTCGAATCGGTCCTGCTCAACGTCAGAGCCTATTCGGATTCGAACAAATACTACGGAGCACACACTCAGGTAAGGCGCTGCACGTTTTCGATCGCGAACACTCCTGCTCTTCGGCGCAATATTATTACGCATACCTCGGGGGTATAATATAACGTTTTACACTCTGTCCATACATCTCGATTATACATAATCGCAAAAAAAAAAACGCTTGTTAACTCGTACACGTCGTAACACACGGTTGTTTTGTGCGCACGCAGGTGAACGTGTTGATCGAGGACGAGAACGACAATTCGCCGCGTTTCGACTCGAGCTCCGTGCGAATCGCCGTGCCGGAAAACGTGGCCACGGGGTCGCCGGTGTACACGGCGCACGCCACCGACCCGGACTCCGGAGCCAACGGCCGGGTGCACTACGAGCTGATCACGTCCACGCAGGAACCGTCGTACTTCCAGGTGGACCACAACCGCGGCACGATCAGCCTGATCCATGGGCTGGACTACGAGACGGTGCACCGGCTGACGGTGACGGTGATCGCCAGGGACTCGGGCACGCCGCCGCTGTCCGACAACATGACGCTGGTCGTGGACGTGCAGGACATCAACGACAACCCACCCGTGTTCGAGCGGCCGCATTACGCGGCCACCGTGTTGGAATCTCTGCCGGTCAACTCGCAGGTGAGTGCCGCTTACCCGGGAAGGGGATGAGAGGGCGATAAGTGAAATTAATGAGCACGTTTTAAAAAATATCACGAAAACACGATTACGCGCTGCACCGTTAGCGCTTGTAATCCGCAGTAGAACGAGCCCGTTTATCCACCCCTGCCGCGCTCTTGAGCGTTGCGTAATGGTCGATAATCGTTTTTCAAACACGTGATTTGTGGGCGCGTCCGCAAACATGTATTGTACGTACGACACACCGAAGCGAAACGGACGCGTTCTACGAAGTCGTTACGACATTTACACCGAGACGCGTATTAAAACGTCGTTACGCGAGTAATTGCTCGACGTTCGCGCGCGTTCCGAACTCTTCCGGAAAAACCGATTAAAAACCCGAACGTTTACGCTGGTCCGAAAACGATCGGGGAACACGTGCCCCGCCCATAACGGGTCGACGGTCGTTCGTTAATCAATAACGGTACGCAACGGGTGCGCGCGATGACCACGAGGGGGTCACGCGCAGAGGTTGATGACGATAATGATGATGATTGCTCGAAATGCAACAACCCGGACAGCAGCGGAAGACGATTTCGCCGAGTGGAACGCGTGGCATAACGGAACCGCCGCGGCGCACGGTATCGTCCTCTCGCGCGTGCGTTCCTCTGGTTAATCGAGCCCACGCGTTTTTCTCCCGCCGTCCTTCCCTTCCCCCACCCCCGCCACCAACATTGGCTCGACGCGCGTACCACGAAAAATCTCACGATGGGGTGTTGTTCGACGACGGACGAAAAGTGTTGTTCCACGGCGCAAACCGATTAAACAATAAACGACGGCCAGTTAATGACGGTAACAACATCGGAACAACAATATTATAATAACGCGGAACAACAATGCGGTCGCAGCGAAGACGGTATTATAGCCGAGTGTATTGTGATGTGACTGCAGCGATAATCTTGTGCGCGTAGGTACGCCGCTGGAAGGGGTTAACGATTATTACTTTTCTTGCTCTTGCTTTCGGGACGAAACGCCCCCTGCGTGGTACAACAATAAAATGTATCTAGTCGAGAACGGCGCAGCTAGATAGAGAGAGCGAAAGAGAAAAATATAATAACGAGAACATCAACCGCCAAAGACGAGGAGAAGAATAGTAGAAATAGTAGTAGGTCGAGGAAAAGAACGGAATATAATAACTTTTTTTCTTTTTTTTTTTCGGTAACAGCGTCGTCGTCGTCGTCGTCGTCGTCGTCGTTGCCGACCGATTTCGAGATCCTAGAAGCGTATTATAATAAATACATCGGCTTCGGCGCGCGCGCAGGGGGGTGTTAAGGCCCCCAACGAGGCGCGAACAATGGCGTCATTGTGTTGGCAGAACTGCGCGTTCCGATAATTACTCGTCACCACGGCCGGTGATTGATGGACGGTGCGAGCGCTCGGGCCCGTCCCGGTTCCCCCGTGGGTCTCGGGGTCGAGTACAGTTCAAGCTCACGGGAATGCGCGCCGTTATCGCCGGCACCCCGCACTCATCACCTCACCCGTCCGTCCGTTAATACCGCGTTATACCGCGCGCCCGGTAAGAGACCGCCTCTCCTTCGTTGGCTCTAACCGTTCTAATCGTTTCAATCCGACCTTGTCGTCGTTCGTGTCAATATAATAATAATAACAATAACAATAATTATGAAAACAATAATTATTATAACACGAAATAATTGTACAGACAAATAAAAGCGTACCGTACTCCGGTGTTTCATTTAAACGAGGCATTTTATCGCGATCGCGTCGGATTCAGATGCGTATCGTATGGTCTCGTACAATGTGTGGTGTACACGTGTACGGGGCCGACTCGCGCGGACAGTAATCTGGTCGCAGCGGACGGCCAATAAATTAGTGCGACCCTGCCGACAACGTAAATCTCGAGCCCGATTAGCTCGCTCCGTGACGACACGCTTACGATTGTCATAAACGTGTTCTACATAATATTACCGAACGGGCCCGCGGCCGGAGCTCGCGCATTCGTATTGTACGTTGTGTATTGGTCGACGCCGCACCGCATATTTCATCGGCGGCCCGATTAGTCCGGCTTCTGCCTTTCTACACCGCGCCTCATCCCTAATAAATCTTGACGTTTTCCATGCTATCCCACCCCACCACAAAAAAATTAAAGATTTTCTTGTATATTAATTATTGTCTGGGGGAACTTATGGACTTGATGCTTGAACTATGGACGTGTTGACGTGATATGTGGTTTTCAACTGTTTGTATTCGTGTTCTCGCAGATCGTGCAGGTGACGGCATTGGACGGCGACAGCGGTAACAACGCTCGCATCACGTACCACGTGTCAGGAGGTGACAGTGACGGATCATTGGATGTGCATCCCACCACGGGATGGGTATATGTCAAGGGCCCGTTGGACAGGGAGACGCAGGACACGTACGAGCTTACGGTGGTGGCTGCGGACAACGGGTCTCCGGGCCCACTCGCTGCTACGGTGGTCGTTGTGGTCACCGTGGCCGACGTCAACGACAACGACCCGGAGTTCGACAGGGAGCACTACGAGTTCCACGTGGAAGAAAACCGACCAGCGGGAACGGTGTTCGGCGCCGTGTCCGCTACGGACAGGGACGCCGGTGACAACGCTCTCGTCCGGTACTCGCTGATTCCGACCAACTCCAGTTTCAACATCAACTTGTACTCCGGTAAGTGGCGTGCAGCTATGTGGTCAGAGAGATAGAAACTTCTCAGGGGCATCGGGTGGACCGAAAGGCGTGAAAGCAATACGCAACTATAAATGATCCATATAGCTTCTACGACATGATTTAAAATATCGTTGTAGTAATATTTAACGGATAACATTTGGGTAACATCCACATACTATGCGTTTATCGATCACGAAACGCGTCCAAGTCCGACTGTAATGTTACCCGAGTGTTATCACTGTAGGTGCACATATTTAAATACACCGCCTACGATTTTTTCGATGAAAGCCGTCGGGCGACGGACAACACTCTGAAAAAGAGTGACGCCGACGTACGCCGGTTTATTAATTTGACGCCCGATATTGATTGTTATTGATTCAACCGATTTCTAACCTATACGTAAAAAACACGGTTCGCACGACGAAGCGCGTGCGAACCGTTAGAACAAACGGATTTTTTCTTCCAAACCGAGTGCAATACGTGCATACAGCACCGCATGACGTCCAAGCGATTCGTTCTACTAATTAGTTTTTTTTTTTTTTTTTTTTTTCTTCATTCCGTTTGTTCTCCGACGATTAATGAGCACGAGAAACGTACGGCACGGAAGTTTCTCCACCTCGTCCGGTTCACCGGCTTTTGTTTCGCGCGCCGACAGACACTACGCGCGGCGGTGGCGTTCGATTAATTCGCTCGCGTTTCCCGTCGACGGCGACCAGGTTTTTGCTCTCGGCGCGACCACGAGCGGCCCGCGATTTCGTTTCTCGTGACGCACGTCCATTGTGCACATGTGGTAAACGGTGATGTTATTAGCGCCCGATCGCGGATCAATCGGATCTTGGCCGACGGCCGTTCCTGCGCGCGGTAACCGCGGTAAGCGACCGGCGACAAACGCTTCCGCGCCCGTACGAAAACCGTTATCGCGCGACATCGCGCCGGCCGGTTTGGTTTTTCCGCACGACAAGCGAAACGCTGTCGCGTCCCGTGTTCGTGGGATACGAACCGGTGAGACTCACAGATCCGTTTGCCACCGATGACTAGCCACGTTTAGGACCAAGCTTTTACGCGCTACACGTTGTGCGCGTACAACGTATTTACACGGTTTTGACTGACACGCGCGTAACGCGATGATAAACTAACCGAATGGAATTACTCGTCATGACCACTTAAGTTTCTTTTATTGTATCGTTATATTATACACGTGTGTACCGCGTTAGAAGAGGTCGCGTAACACAGACGACGGCTGTAAGTGATACGTGCGCGCGCGCATTCCCTCGTCGACTACATGGGCACCCGAACGCGCCCGGTCATTATACCGACGCCGGTGCCGCCGCAACCGTCGTGTTTATCATCAACTGTGCGTGCGAAACGACCGATGGAAAAAAAAACCGTAGTATTTGTCAATAATAATAATAATAATAATAAAAAAAAAAAAAAAACTTCCGTAGTCGCTTTTTTTTTTTTTTTTTTTTTGTTTCCATCGCGGCAGGTAGTTCGAAATAATAACGACGGCGGTTCACCCACGTACTGTAATTCTTATACTATACCTATACTAATTATACGGCAGTCTTAATTTTATACAGAGCGTGTGTGCGTATCAGAAAGACAGAGAAAGAGAGTGAGAGAGAGAGAGAGAGAGAGACGTATCGATTACGCGGCGGCTGCGCACAGGCAATTTCCTTATAGTAAATTACGGTAGTTATGTCGAAAATTTGGGTCGAAATAGCATCAGCCCGACGGTCGCGCGGTTCGGTTATGTCTTCGACGGCTGCTAAGACGGCTGCTGTGCCTTCCAAATTACGGGTTTTTTCGGTCTATATTCTCTCGTATACACGCGCGCGCCCACCTGTACACGTATTTCACGCGATCTACTCGTATCCCCGGATCGGTTCGGGTAGGTATATTTTCGGTTTTGTGCGTGTCTCGTTCGCGTGCGTTTTCGTCGTCGCCGTAGATAAATATTTTGGTATAGTAGTTTTATGTGCCTACGTACGTAGCTGCTGTGCCCGTCGATCGGGATAATGATAATAATATCACCCGCGTGTTTGTGTAGTGCGTACAAGTCGGAATCCCATCCGAAGTGTGTATACACCGCAGTCGATAGAAAATTGAGATGGAAAAAAAAAATAAAAAAACAATCGAGTGAGGCCTTGAGGTCGGAAACACCCTGCGGCCCGGTACAGACCTATTGCCTCTCGATCGCTTCTATGAGTACTTCTTCTTGTACCTACTCCTGCAGTGGTGGCTATTTTTACATCGTATCCTCGCCCTTAGCTAAATAACATATATATATATATATATATATATATATATGCACGACGAAACAGTTAGCCCGCCTACAAATTGGTATTTTCAATATGAATAATTAATCACGTACCACCGTTGTACGGATGACGAAAATAATAACAATTCATACATATTATTATTATTATATTATGTACTTCTGAAACGCGTTTTCGGCGCTACGCGCGTGCACGGCGAAAACATCAGTCGTCTGCTGCTGCAGCTGCGGTGCACTCGTCTGTCGCGTTAGTTAAGTATAATGAATGATGTTAGCGTTATTACTGCACTGACGTAGCTAGATTGTCCGCAACGCCCAGCTCAACACGCCGCCGCTGCACATGGGCGGTGTGCGTCGGTTCTTGGTTTTTTTTTCGTTCATTAATATTCATTCGATCCGGATATTGTTTTATTCTCTCGAGAAAAACAAAAAATGATTAAAGCATTTTTCCCAAAAGAACATTTATAACTAAATAAACATATATTTATTGTATTGAATAATATTTAATGACCAAGTACAGTATTACATTGACAGCTTTATGTCAAGATAAATGTTGGCATATACGCGCGAAAGAAAAACAGTCAACTCCTTAGGCCTTGTTTTTATGTGCCTATGCATTATATTATGTATATATTATCAAGATACATATAAAATAAATTATAAAACAAATTTCCTGGATTTCATATAAAAATGATATTTCAAGAATGTTCCGATCTGGCCGGTGTGTCGTAAATCATTAAACGCGACAACCAATTATTAAACGTATATTAACATATCCGTGAAATGTATATAATACATTAAAAATAATTCATAACGGCCCTGGCACTAAATTATATCAACAACAAAATTTTTTATATTTATCGGTTTTATAATAATGTATTTTTTTTCTATTAACACTTTTTATTCGTGTGACTGTATCTAAATTGTTACGATGCGGTGTTTCGGTTTTTTTCGATATTTTTATTGGTTCGATACACGGTGGTACATTTACACGTCGACGTTTTCGATTTATCGATAAAATTGATTTTCCTCTCAAACTTAACGACTTGTAAATTAATACGCGTACACATTATACAACTAATATATTACCTACTTCAGCCTCTACTCGGAATCGATTTTAGAATGTAATGATTCCGTCGTTTATTGGTATAAAGCTAACGTTTCCGTTATAGTGACCTGTTTTGAACAAAAAGTTCGAACAATGTCCCATTCCACGAACGCGTCTATCCGGTATCCTGTCCGAAGAGAGTTTTACGCTCGACATACACTCGGAGACCTCTGATGAGCTTTTTCCTGCTGTAACTGATAATTTTCGTACAATACGAAGCGAATAACATTCCATAGACAATAAATGTACCCGGATGATGTCCCCGGAGGTCTTTGTCAACTGAATCCGGACGACCGCGGCAAAACCAAACATACCGTTTGTGGTTTAAATTTCGCATTGCGTGGTATGCACGCACAAGAGCAACGGTGGCATACCGCCGCGTGCGCAAGGTATCAGTTTGAGAAACGTGCGCACATAATTGTTTATATACGTTAAAAATTATTTGTCTGTTTATTTTTATTTTTTGTATTTTTACCGTTCAACATTTCCATCGTCGCATTGGGTTTCTTATCGCCGGGAGTTTATTAGCTCGGTGCTGTACATCATAATAGTAGGCACAATAACTGCAGTTGGTCTCGGCGACAGTGTAAAAACCATAGAGTAAAGAATGTAAAAACGAGCCCATCGGCACTGCGTCACTGCGGCGTTGATTACACATTATTGCGCACCGCGTTCGCGCGCGCTTTTTCGGCACGTAGGCGGCGGCGCTCACCGCGCGCAATACGTTTGCCGACCGGTCGGACGCGGTCCCACAAGACGATACGCGGTCGCACGTCCAAGCCGAAAACGTTTTCACGACGGTACAATATTCTTTCCGCGGTCGGCGTTGTGTCGCATCATCGTCGTCGTGCGACGGGCAGCCCGTTCGGTCGTGGCGCGTTAATCGAACGGCTGCCTACGCATCTACAATCGTATGCTGGCCGTCGCCCGGACCGATTGTCTCGCTCTCCGCGGCCGATTCCTCTCGTCGTTTTCCGTCTGTTCGCCGTTTCTAATTACCACCGCCGCTGATCGCATCGATCATTAGTGAGATTTCCGTGCGGCCGCGTACGGCGTATTTGTAACACGAACTCGTTTACGCCCAGAAACGTGGTATCGGTTTTGAAATTCCTATCCGTGTGGTCTCCGTGTCGTACACGCCGGAACCGTTTACCCGCCGCACACGTTATTTTTCTCCTCTCGTGTGATACACCTCTCCGAAACGCTCTTATGTCTCTCCCGGGCACGGCGCACGTACGTGTGCATCGACACACAATACGTGTATGTATATGGGTAGATACGTGCGACCCCCGTGCAGCATACAGGGTATTCATAAAACAACTCTTCGTAGGGTCGAAATCTCACGACAACTGCAATTTGTTGACTGACACGTTGTTGGATAACCGACGGGCTTTTTTTTCACGCGGCCAAGCTTCATTCTTCCTGCGGGAACGCGTATAATACCTGCGATTTAAACGTCGCAATAGATATTTATTGCAGCCGTTGGGATCCTATGTAGAAGATGGTCGTTTTACGAACGCTCTGTACATGTCAAATATTGTACATTTATTATACCTACGTATATGTATATATTGTATGTGGATTGACTAAAACCCTAACCGCTCGCATGGCCCGCCCAAATATTGACACTCTGAAGACGTGCGCGTGCGTGCGCGTGTGTGTACAACACAAATGAACATACACCGAAACGCTATTAAAAACGTCAACCTTTCCTCCTTTCCTCCCGTGCTCTCACCATATAACCCCTTTCGGCGGCGCGTCTTAACCCGTCTGTGCGCTCGATACAATCCTAATATTTACCACAGACGGTCGTAAAACGAACGAAACACTGTATACGTACGCGGCGGGAAATAATAGTACGTCGGGAGACTTGTATTGTACCTACTTCGTACCTATATGTGCGTACAACATTATAGTATAAATAACAGACAGACCGGACCCTCGTACCGTAAACCGTAGGTACCCGCAGTATACACGTATACACGGCGGTTCTAATGTCTCATTCGTGGTGTGAGGCGCGCAATCGTTCGCGATAAAGAAATGCAAACACCCGACCCGACCCAACGACGATGCGGTCGAGAAAGGATCGTAAAACTCCAGATTCTTTTTTCCTATCTCTTATGTTTTTACAACTCTCGTTTGTGCAAACACGCAGGCGCAAGCTGCGCGCACGACACAAAAAATAAAAACCGTTTTATTACAACGTCGGTTTTATATAATACGGTTCAACAACAATACGTAAATGTTCTGGTCTAAAGACATTGTTTTGAACGTGTTCTCCAGGTGAGCTGAGCACCAAGGAACCGTTGGACCGAGAAACCCGAGCCTGGCACGAAGTGATCGTTGAGGCCAGGGATCAGGACGGAGGGATCAGAGGTCGTAGCAAACGCGTGAAGGTCAAGGTAGCCGTGACGGACGTCAACGACAACGCACCCGTCATCGTGGACCCGCAACAGGACGTGGTGGCGGTTCGTGAACAGCAACCGCCCGGCGTAGAGGTAGTCACCGTCAAGGCGACTGACCCAGACCAGGGTAACAACGCTACGCTCACGTATTCCATACTTAAAGGTACGTATCATATACGTGGTTAGTAAAATCGTAAGGATATAGTTAGGATGTTCCAAAAATGCAGGTATTTTTTCCCCACCATCCAAACAACAGCCACTAAATTGTATTGATGACACGAATTAACAATGTTCTTGATAATTTAAAGAAAAAAATCTCTTTTTTCCAGAAAATACCATTACATGGTTGTTATTAATCTCAATCTGTATTGAATTTCATATACAATGTTCACTATCAAATATCAATGCGTATATAAAGTAGTAAATACTCGTGAATATTATTCTTATTATACGCAATAGGTTCATTTAGTTATTTTAACTATTTTAGATCTGTCCATAGTGATTTATCGTAAACTCTCCAGCATAGTTTTTTTCTCTGTCCTAATGCAATAAACGACGATGACGATTACACGCGTTTCGGAACGGAAATATCTATAACGAAAACCTATATCGTTTCAGGTCGCGATTCGGACGGCAACGGTGAATTCTTTATCGACCGCGTCACTGGTGTAATCAGAACAAAAGTGTCGCTGGACCACGAGGAAAAATCCATGTACAGGCTCTCGGTGGCGGCGACGGATAACGGACATCCGCCCAAACAGACAATTCGCATGCTAAGGGTTGAGGTGCTCGACTTGAACGACAACAGACCCATGTTTACCAGTTCCAGCCTCGTATTTCAGGTACAATTTGTTTTACCAACTCGTATGCTATACTTTAATTCGCTTCGTTTACACGTAGTAGGCGTTGTACGTATCTTCTGGGGTAACTTCAGCACCACATATATATGTATGTACGCGCTTGCGCGAATTCGAATCTACCTGCGGCCAATTCTCCGGGATGCGTCTAAATAAATAACGTAGTTTCTACCGCACACAATGACACACACACACACACACACACACCAACACACATACCGAATTTTCAATAATCATTTATATAAATCGGAAAACACGATATCATGCGAATAACCAGTTCGCCTCAAGTATACCTATAACGGTAGGTTAGGTTTATTTTTGTCGCCCAATTTTTTCGCTCGGCAATAAATTTGAATGTCTTCGTCTGTATATATACAGTATAATATATATATATGTTTATATGTATACTATGTGCGTATACATTTTTTTCTTCTGATATTGCAATCCTTGCGCCCCGCCCCTCTCGCGCATTTCTGCGATCCGAAATAAATTGGATTATCTACAGGACATAAATCAACCACGTAGAAAGGAGGACCCCGAGTACTAATTGTGCGTGCGCGTGTCGAAGCGTATGTAGACGAGGTCGCATTGTACAAGACTGCTGCATGATTTCGAAAATATCCAAAAATCTAGATAAAGTCATTATACGTTAACCTGTTCATTTTCGCGTGGATATTGTTTATGGAGGCTAAAAAATAACAATAATGAATAAACAAATCAAATGATAAAATAAATAATAACTCGTATTTGCCGACGCCAGTCCATTGCAATAAGCTTGAAAAATCGAAACTGGTTTTCGTGTGCGCGCACGCGTAGTTGCTTAGTGTGTAATCGAGAAATACGATTGCGACCGAAATAAAGAATAAAATATACGAGATAAAACAATTCGCCTATATTCAATTGAAACCCGGTTTCAGACAACGACGACAACGGTACATACGCATTTATATACTCTTTGCGCCGCGTTTGTTCGCGGTGCCTTCTATTTACTTATATTTATTGTTTGACTTCTTCCTTTTTTTTCTTTTTCATTTATTTATTCCTTTCCCTCTCTCTCTCTCTCTCCTATATTTCTTTCTCTCCTTACCTTCAAACACACGTACACACATACGACGAGATCCAGTGCTCACGATAAAGCATTGTTACGCGAGTGAAAAAAAAATTCAATTGCATAAAAAAAAAAAAAACTAACAAAATCGAACTTCTTGTGTTTTACATATTATTATTATTATTACTGTTGCGTAAAGCCCGACCGACTCCTGTTGACACCGTCTGTCTTTTCGGCCCTAATGAACGTCTCTTTGTGCGCCTCAGTGATTTTCTAAATGTAAATACGCTCTGTCGTCCGACGTGAACTTTTCGTGAACAACTTTTTTTTCTCTTTCCCTTCCCAACGATTCGAATCCGATACTGGATTAGTCACGAACTAACGAGATTTGCATTTATAGTTTTAAATACCACGCGGACCTTGAAGATTTATACGTTTTCGATTTGGATCAGTTTAATTAAGAGACGCATTGATCGAGTTTTATGAAATGAGATTCTAGAAGAGAGAAAAAAACGCGTTCGACTGATGTTCCCTCGCGCGCGCGCTGCGAAACCACTCGATAACCGGCCGGAGAGCTGATCGTTGGACGATTGTTCCCAAATGAAATTTTCTCTAGTTCGACGAATACCAATGGAATTCCTTAATCGAAACTCGCCTTTTGTGTATTGCGTATATTATTATTATTATAACACAACGGTACATGTAGAAAACCTCTGGTACAGCCTAATTTTAACAAAACCATTTGCGAGAAATTAACAATGAATATAAAAAATTTGAAGTACTTATGTCGTATATTGCTCGTCCGCGTTTGAATGTAAATAAACGCAATTATGTGCTTCACGGTTCATCATTGTTCGGCCGGCTTCTCGTAAAACTAGTATTATTATTTTCAAGGTTAGGCAGATAACTTCTAGCTTGACGAGTTAAATGATTTTCTTGAAGCTATTACAAATAGTTAATCAATTTTTTTAGTCACGTTGAGTTAGTTGCATTCCTAATTAAAATTCCAGAAGTTAAGGATAAACTTATACGTTCTAATTATTGCTTTTAATAATAGTAATAGAAATTATAATCGTAAAAGATTTGAATAGTATGTTTCCTGGATTTCAGTAGAAATTAAAATAACATACATAAATATCTTCATAGAAATATCATATTATTCGGTTCAAACCACTTAAAGTGTTGTAAATCGAACAAGTTGATAAAAAAAAAAGAGGCAATTTTAAACTTTAAACGTAACTTACATCGATAAATCTTACTTGGCGAGTTTGAAAATCAGTTAACTTGTCCAGACTCGATTATTATAAATTATTATTATTACTAACCGCGAAACCGAATAATTCGTCGGCGATTCGAGCGAATCGGTAAACGGCGTAGGCGAAAAGCTCAACCCAAACATAACGGTACCGCGTTCCGTGTTCGCAGGTGAAAGAAGACGGGACGCGGTACCTTTTTTTTTTTTTTTTTTTTTTTTTTTTTTTTTTTTTTTTTTTTTTTGCAGGCCGCGGCCAGGTGAAGTACACGCTCAGGCATTCGGACGCGAACCAGCAGATGTTCGACCTGGACAGGAGCACGGGCGCGCTGATCGTGGCCGGCCGCGTGGACCGCGAGACCAAGTCGGTGTACGAGATGGAGGTGCACGCGCTGGACACGGGCGCCAGCACGAACCCGCAGAGCAGCTCTGTGTCGGTGCGCGTCGAGGTGCTGGACGTGAACGACAACGCGCCCCGGTGGCCGGAGGACCCGGTGACCGTGGCCGTGGCCGAGGACGCGGTGGTCGGCTCGGTGGTGTACAACTTCACGGCGTCGGACGCGGACGCGGACGCCAACGCGGAGTTAAGGTACACGGTGGTGCAGCAGGGCCCGACGGCGGCGACGGCGTTCTCGTTGGACCCGCTGACGGGTATGCTCACGCTGGTCGAGCCGCTGGACTTCGAGACGACGCGCGACTACGTGATCGTGGTCCGGGCCACCGACCAGGCGGCCAACGCGTCCGAGCGGCTGTTCGCCGACGTGACGGCCAGGATAGCGGTGCAGGACGTCAACGACAACGGGCCACGGGTCGTGTCGCCCGCGTTCGGCACGCTGTACGTGGACGGGTCCACGCGGCCCGGCGACTGGCTGTTGAACGTGGTGGCCGTGGACCGGGACGCCGGTGACAACGGCCGGTGCGCGTACACGATCGGCGCGGGCAACGACAAGGGCACGTTCGGCATCGGGTACGACACGGGCGCGCTTGTGCTGGCCGCGTTCCCGGACACCGTCAGAAAGTACGTGCTGAACATCACGGTGGCGGACAGGGGCACGCCGGCCCGGCACACGTATCTGGCGCTCGAGGTGGCGTTCACGGCGAGCGCGGAACAGTCGGTGCAGTTCTCCCAAAAGCTGTACTCAGCCAACGTTTCCGAGGACGCGCCCGTCGGCAGTTTCGTCGCCAAAGTCACCGCCAACTCCAATGACAATCGTGAGTACCTACATTGCCGTCCCATTACGCTGCCTCGTAAACGCACGGTTTACGTGCTCGAAACGTGTCCGACCGCGCCTCCGTGCAATAATGCGCACGGGTCGCTCTCGGGTCAGGCCGATTCCAGTAATAATTGCTCATCTCGGTGTACGCCCTATAACGCGGCCTACCACCTTTGTACCGCGCACGTCGATAACGAGTTTATATTATGCGGGAAACGCACGCATTCGTACGAGAGACACCGTTGCGTTTTAGCCTATCCGACACGACAATTGATTTGACCTTTAAACGCGATGTGTGAAAAATTCAATAAAAACTATCGCAATCCAGTATCCTTAATGGGGCATCGAAACTGTTTTGCATACAGTACACAGAGCACGAAATGATTGGATTTCGTTTATGCTGTATACTCCATGCGCACGACCCGATATTATTATAAAAGTCGTTAAATTGCCAATAATAAAAGAGTATAATTACAGCAGTAACTATCGATTGAAAACCTAAACGTTGATTGCTTATTCGTTTAACCGACAGTTCTCCGCGCGCACAAATAATATAAAATCCTATTACAAGGTTGGCGTTATTATTATATGTACAGACAAAAAAAGAAAAACCAAACTAGTAATTATTATAAGTTGCAATTATATTATTTAAATCACGTCGACGGAACTGCATTGCTTTACACCGCGCGCGTATCCCCTCGCCAATACGCTTCAAAATTAGTATACCCGTTCTAAATGAAAACAATTTAACATTAATTGCGATAATTGCTGTAAAGGTCAGTCACATATCATCTCCTAAGCCACTTCCCCTTAACCCCTCGATACACTCATCTCTTTCACTCCCGTTGTCGTGTGAACGTGAGCCGTCTTAACGCTCACACTGACTACAAGGCAATTATTTGTTTTTTTATTTTTAGGGATTTCGTATAGCATACCGGAAGGTGTGGCCGAAAACTGTTTTCGCGTGGACAAAGACCGCGGAATCGTGACCTTGCAAAACCGAATCGACCGGGAACGCACGTCTCACTACGTATTGCCCGTGTACGCGACGGACGAGGTGAAGTCGACCATGGATGTGGTGACGCTAGAGGTGGGCGTGTTGGATGTGAACGACCACAGTCCCAAATTCAAGCACGACTCGTGTCACACGTTAATTGTGCCCGAGAACCAAGACACTTCGGTGATCCGTACCGTTGTAGCCGTGGACCCGGACTGGGGCGCTAACGGTCAGGTGGTGTACAACATTATCGGGGGTAACGGAGGCAACAAGTTCCATTTGGATCCCAAAACGGGCGAGCTGACGGCCAAGATGCTGAACCGGGAGGTACAGGCCAAATACCAACTGCAGATAACCGCTCAGAACCGTGGTAGCACCACAGCGGGTCACTGCAATCTGACCGTCATGGTGGACGACGAGAACGACAACGATCCAAACTTCGAGCAGAGCAAATACGAAGCGGTGCTATTGGAAGACGTACCGCCTGGCACTAAGGTGCTAACCGCAAGAGCGCATGATGCAGACGTGGGCGTGAACGCCAAAATAACCTACTCGCTGTCCAATCAAACGGAAAACATTTTCCAGATCGACAACAAAACCGGAGTCATCTTCACCGTTGGGTAAGTAAAGACAAGACAAACATCACTGTTACAAAGATTGTAAAACTAATTAGGTATCAACGCTGTGTGATATAGTTTTCATAACGCTCCGATTGGTTTTAGAAATTTGGATCGAGAAAAACAACCGAACTATTGGCTGCAAGTCGTGGCCAGAGACGGCGGAAAGTATAATCCGCGATCTTCTACGACACTCGTGTACGTCAAAGTGCTGGACGTGAACGACAACGTGCCGATATTCACGAAATATCCGTTCACTGCCGAAATACCGTCACACATACAACCGGGAATAGATATCGTCCGAGTGTCGACGACCGACAAGGACGAAGGTTCCAACGCGGATGTGTTGTACTCGTTTAGGGAAAACCAAGGAGCCGCCAACAAGTTCCGAATCAACCACAACACGGGTGTGGTGACAGCTTCTTCAAGTCTGGCTTCGGACAATGGTCAAGTGTTTCACTTGGAAGTGATCGCAACGGACAAAGGAAACCCGCCTCAGAGCTCGTCCGGACTGTTGGAGATAAAGATCGGCGACAACTTCGATCGGATCCCGCTGATGCGTTTCAAGAACTCCACGTACCACGTGACGATACCGGAAAACTTGGAACAAAACAAAAACGTACTCGAGGTAAGTGGCTATAGCTACATGGTCATAAATCATGTCGCCGATCTTTTATAGCAAATTAATAATTTCTCGTTCGTTCTCTCCCATGATAGATTTCGGCGTTCCGTAGCGATGGTCGGAAACAAAAAGTCTTTTACAAATTGGCTCCGGTCAACAACGAAAACGGACTGTTTTATATCGACGAAGATACCGGCGTGATACACGTGGGCAAATCGGAAGGTTTGGACTTTGAGACGTACAAACTGGGCATACATTTGGTCGCCATCGCACAAACCGACGCGCCAGCCTCCGTGATCATGTGGGGCTACGCGGACGTATGGGTGCACTTGTCCGACGTGAACGACAACAGCCCGGTGTTCACGCAAAAGGAGTACACGGCCACGGTGGCCGAGGGCAACCCCAAGGGCGCGTTCGTCATCAAAGTGACGGCGATCGACCTGGACGACAACGAGAACTCCCGGCTGTCGTACCATTTGGTCGACGGGAACCACGACAACGCTTTCGTCGTCGACCCGACGGACTCCGGCATAGTGAAAACGAACATCGTGTTGGACAGCGAGATCAGAGATACGTACAAGTTGACCGTGATAGCGACCGACGAGGGCACGCCCCAGATGACAGGAATGGCCACGATCCGGGTGATCGTAATCGACATCAACGACAACCGGCCTTCCTTCCCGCCGCAGATGACCATCAACGTCAAAGAAGGTTTGTGCCGTGCACAAAGCACTCGTCCGCCGTCGTACCGTTCTTATCTTTGTTGCGTGTGTTTTAACGCGTATGTGTTCGCCGCATGTTGCAGGTTTGGAAGTCGGAAGTATGATAACGACAGTGGTCGCCAACGACGTGGACACGTATCCGACGCTGACTTACTCTTGGGCGCTGTCCGTGGGACAGATGGACCGGAAGCTGTTCGCGTTGGACCGGTACAGCGGACGCGTTTCGCTGATCGGTAGTTTGGACTACGAACAGACCCGCGCGTACCGTTTAGGCATAGTTGTGTCGGACTCGGAACACACGGCGTCCACCGAACTGTCCGTCGTGGTAACCGACGACAACGACAACCCTCCGGTTTTCGACCGTCCGTATTACACGTTCACGATGACAGGTACAATAACGATTCCGTGACATTCCGTGTGTCAGAAGCGCCTGGAACACGTGTCGGTAACTTTGATGTGATTTTGCAGAAAACGTTTATGGAGAATCATCAATGCAAGTGGTCGCGAAAGACTTGGACTCCGGACTCAACGGAAAGATAAAATACGCTTTATCAAACGACTTGAGTGGGTTCAGAATCGACCAGCAAACCGGTGTCATTACTGCGAACCGGCTAAAGTTCGATCAAAAACTAATACAAAAGGTAAGGTTTTGAGATTTCGTAAGTCGTACAACGAACATCCGTTACTCATATATTGGCATTTCTTTTACGTAGGGCATCGTCGATTTGTTGGTAACTGCTACGGACCAAGGAACTCCCGCTCTTTCTACAATTGTCGCGGTTCGCGCGAACGTACACAACACGATGCATTCTAAAACAGTGAAATTCGCTCAAAATGAATTCAGGTATGCATGTGTTCCGGAATACCTTACTATCGTTTCTCATACCTTTTTGATGATAAATATTAACAAATTATTTTTTCTTTTACTTTTTAGAGTATCGGTTCGGGAAGATATTGTTTTGGGAGAACCGTTTTTGAAACTGTTGCCCAGCTACTCGATGGACAGCTCGGTACATTTCAATATCGTCGAAGGTGATGAAGACAAAAATTTCGATCTTATAAGTCCGACAGGTGAGCTTTTCGTGAAAAAGCACCTAGACCGAGAAACTCGTGACATATATTCGCTAAAAATTACCGATAGCGGCAACAGTTCTTACGTGTTCGTCCACGTGATCGTTGACGACGCAAATGACAACGCTCCCAAGTTTACGACTGACGTTCAACAAAGTCTTTCTTTACCGGAAAACGCGCCAATCGGACACTCTGTTATCCGGCTGATGGCCGACGACTTGGACACGCCGCCGAACTCAGATATTTCATACGAGATAACTTCGGGCAACAGCAAAAATTATTTCAACATAGACCGCAACACCGGCGATATCTCCGTGAAATCTATTCTGGATTGCGACTTGGACGTTGCCGAACACAATCTGGTGGTAAAAGCTCAGGACGGTGCGATATCACCGGACCGTCCGTTGGCCACGATCAAGTTGGTCAAAATACTGTTGGAAGACGTGAACGACAATGCCCCGAAGTTCCCCGTCTCGGAGTACTTGGAGTTTGTGGGCGAAAACGAGCCGGTCGGAGCGCTGGTCTTCACGGCCAAGGCGATGGATGCCGACCGTGGCTATTACGGACAACTCAACTATTCGATCGCGTCGTCGGCCAGTTATTCGGGTGCGGACGATTCGTGGAAAATGTTCAAAATAGACCCGTCGTCGGGTCTGGTGACCACGAACGCGGTGTTCGACTACGAGACGAGGAGCCGGTACACGTTTACGATAATCGCCAGCGACGCGGGTGACAAGACGACCAAGGTGAGGGTAAAAATCGAGATCGAGGGTAAGGACGAGTTCGCGCCGCAGTTCATCGAGCGCACATTCAAATTCATGGTCAACACGGTCGACTTGCCCGTGGGCTACGTGATCGGGTACGTGTCGGCCACGGACAGAGATAAGGGACCGGAGGGCCGGGTGGTGTACCACCTGACCACGCAGAATGCGTACTTCAAAGTGAACCGGACCACAGGGGCGATAATGGTGAAAAAGAAAATCGACAGCAACTTCGACGCGACGCAGGACATCAGCTTAGTGGTGACGGCCAGTTCGGGTAAACAGGGATCGCTGACCAACGTGAGCGTGGTCGAGATATCATTCGACCCGCTATCCCAACCGGGTCTGAATATGGCCAGCAGCAGTTCGGGCGGCCAGGGGGCGACCGGCGGGCCGGGCAACAGCAGCAGCGGCCTGTTGGACTGGATCATCGGCGTGCTGTCGCTGGTGCTGCTGGTCGCTCTGCTGATGGGCGGCATAATGTTCTACTTCCATCTGAAGAACAAGCAACACCGGAACATTAACAAGCCGGAACTGAGCGGACACCAGCGGACGGACAACACGTACGTGGACCCGGGCGCGTTCGACACGATACCGATACGCGGCGTGGGCAACACGCAGGTAGTGGGCCAGTTCGCGCCGCCCAAGTACGACGAGATACCCACGTACCGGAATAACAGCAGCACTAACTCGGGGGCGGCGACCACGTCGGACCTGTCGGGCTCGGAGAAGTCGGGCTCGAGCGGTCGGGGGTCGGCCGAGGACGACGTGGAAGACGAGGAGATCCGGATGATCAACGAGCGGCAGAACGCGGACCAGCTGTCCGAGGTGACGGCGCGCAACACGCAGGAGTACTTGGCGCGGCTGGGCATCGTAGACGCGCAGACGGTGGTGCCGCCGCACCTGCCCGAGGAGAACCGGCTGTCTTCCAGGCGCCGGCGCAGGCCGATGGAGAACATCGACATGTACGACGAGGACGAGGCGACGGACGGTGACATCACAAACATGATATACGCCAAGCTCAGTGACGTGAGTAGCGAACGCGGTGCAGGGGGCGGCGGCGGGAATAGCTTGGTCGGCGCCGTGGTGGTTGGAGGCAGCGGAAGCAGCAACGGTGGAGCGGGAGGCAGCGAGGAAGACGGCAGTGGCAGCGGCGGGGGCCCGGGCGGCGTCGGCGGCGGGGGCCCCGGCAGCAAGTCGTCCAACGCCGCCGTGTACGCGGGCTCGAAAGTGCCGCCGCCTCAGCCGTCCATGGTGGGCTCGTTGAGTTCGATCGTGCACAGCGAAGAAGAGCTGACCGGCAGCTACAACTGGGACTACCTGTTGGACTGGGGCCCGCAGTACCAGCCACTGGCACACGTGTTCAACGAGATCGCTCGGCTGAAAGACGACACGAACTCGGTGAAGAGTTCCAACAGCGGCGCCGCGTCCACCACGGGCGGCGGCAGCGCCAAGAACAGCGGTTCGTCCGTCAAGAAAACCAATAACGTTCCTAACCAGCATCACCAACCGCAGCAGAAGAGCACGCCGCCGCCGCTGCTGACCAATATGGCGCCCAGGGCCCTGTCCTCGCGGCAGTCGACCGCCTCGCACCATCACCACCACCACCACCATCACCCGCACCACCAACATCACCAGGCGCAGCCGCCCATATTGCTCGTGCCCCGGTCGCCGATCAGCCACGAGTCCAACCCGGGCTTCAGCCAGTCGGTGGCCATGTCGCCGTCGTTCTCGCCGTCGCTGTCGCCGCTGGCCAACCGGTCGCCGTCCATATCGCCACTGCACTCGGCCGCGTCCACGTCGGCCCGCCAGAGGCGCCAGACAGCGGAAACCGAACTCAGGCTGTGACCACCAGTGCCCTAAACGTTGTTCTCCACGTCCTACGGTGTTAGATGACAATTGTTAGTTAAATTCCTCTTTCCGCGCGACGGCACACCGTTGTTTCGTGCGAAACACTAATGTCGTCGTCGTCGTCGTCGTCGTCGTCGCGTTTTTCGCGGCTCCGTTTACCATGTAATAAAATAGATTATTATTATTATTATTATTATTTGTACGTATAGTTTTAATCGTTCGTCAATTCGAAACGGCGGTCAAATCAAAGGCAAATATGTTTTATATTACGAAATTGTGATATTATTATGAACGTTATAAATATATATATATATATTATATATGTACAAAAAGGACACAACAATTATATGTTGTACGCGTACTGACTACCAAGCATAGTGTTAAGTTTTATTTTTCGTGAAAATTGAAATGTTTTCTCGGTTCAAATTGTGTAACGGTCGGTCGTATAAGTTTAAAACACCTTGCCATATTCGAAATCAAATCGTATCAACGCCCGAGTGCGATTTGCCCAATTTTTTTGTGTTTGTGTGTCCACACGAACTTAAGTGTAAATTATTTTTATAGTTTTTTTTTTTTTTTATCAACACAAACACTAACTTTACACTGTGGCGAATTAAAACTACCTATATTATGTATAATTTTTAATTTTATATTTGTAAATTACCGAATCGTGTAAAAAATGACTGTATAGTATTACTGAACCGTTAGGTTTCGAAAACCCGAGTTACACACATTTTCCTATGTATCTCGTGCCATCGCGTCCACGGTCTTCAGCTATAGAATATGTATTTTGTACGATATAATATGTAATTTCGTGTTATTATTAATAGTTAAAAATATTTATTCCTGCCATTTACTTAAATGCAAAGACTGTTTTCAATAACTCTTCTTATTTTTACATAAAACTTTTTTTTTTTATTATTATTATTATTGATTTCCGATAGGTACTTGAAATTATTACTTATTGTAACTTTATTTTTAATATTTTTATTTTAGGATGTACAATCACGTTTTCAAAAATAGCTAATACTCCAAGACTAAATATAGTTTTTGTAATTTGTTTACCATGTTTTTGTAGAAATGAAAAAAAAAAATAATTGAATGTTAAACTTTTGTAAATATGAACATTAAAAAAATAAATTTTGGAATGATAAATCAACGGTACAGTGTGTTTTTATCGATAAACGTTTACCTTGCCTGTTCTTAGCATTTATATTGTTTTTTTTCGCTTTCTTTAAAATCATTATATCGAAGCAATTAAATTAACAAATAAACAATTCTAGAGTAGTAGAAAATCAGTTTGTTTTATTACAAGGTAATACTTAATTTAATATTGAAATATGAATAAACTTACATAAAATAAATTATAAAAACTACTGAAATATTGTTAAAACTGAAAATTTCCTGGAAACTCACAATCATATTTTTATGTAAATAGAGCCAAAATGGAATCGCCAACAACTGGAATCAACAATTATTGGATACTTTAAAGCAACAATATAATACTAAGAATATTATTGAATTTAATAGCAACAAAGTATACAGAGGAATAAAATGTGAAAATGTCACAACACATTTAGTCCACAATCTGTTCATTTTAATGAACACTGAAAACATAAAAATTACTTAAATTTAGTATAAAACGATATTAGGTAACTTAATTGTACTAATTCACTCTGTTACGTACCACCGGCTCGATTTCAAGTATTGCAGTCGAAGATGTATTTAATTTTAATAAACATGAGACTTTTAATACGTTTAATACATTTATTTTATAACTCAAAGTGTTAATAAAATAGTACGTATATCTTAAACAGTGCCATAGAATAACGTTATATTCTGTAATACTATTAACATCCTACCATGATAAAATACAGAATTCTATGCAGGGCAGGCGCTAAAAGTTTTGACGCCTTTAACGGAACTATTATTTGGAGCCCTTAAACCCCCTTCCAATCCACTTAATTTGAATAGTAGTAAAACAAAGAATTTTAGTGAATTTAAATAAAATTAGTATTAATTTATTATTATAACTTATTATTATATCAGTGCATTTTTTGGACAAGTTTTTTTTTCGTTGCAAGAATATAATAATTTTAATTTAAAGATTAGTGTTTTTTTCTTTTTTTGCTTTTTGAAAGATTTTTTGGGGAATATATTATTTCACGCCGTCACTGCCTATAATATAGAAATTTATAATGGTTCAGTATCGCACTGTATTTCGTTAATACTTCGACTGCAGACTATTTCGTATTTATTTTTCGGATTTCTTGGTCAAAACGCCGAAACAGTGGCGCCCAGACAGGTTACCATGGAGTGCAATTGCATGTGCTCTCGTCGGGGGTGGGTGTATGGGTGGGTTGGTGGGTATATAATTGGACAATTTCGATACCAAACATTATGGAATATGGTAAGCAAATAACATTATTATTATAACACAAACATTATACCTATACGGCACTGGGTGTAGACATTTTAATTTTAATTAATTATAATAAATCTTAATTTGTTAAATTTATAGTTATTTTAAGAGTTAATTACAGTTACAGACAACAATTTAAACAAATATTTATTTTTTTTTAAGAAAAAAAAAAATGGTGGGCGGGTGGGTTACTTTTTTTAGTTGCATGTGCTCTCAAAATACTTTTGTGCGCCACTGCATTACGTTCATAGTTACATATTTTATTTGCTTATGAATCATTTTCTGACAAAAGTATATGAGTATTAGTATTAATAAAAACTAAATAAAAAAACTAAGCCTATTTTAATGTACTTCTTTTATCGTGATTGAGAAGTATTTATAAATATTATTCATGGTTATAAAACACAATTTTTTATATTTAATCCATATTTCAAATAACAATAAAATATTATATTTGTACATGGTTATATTCTAACAGCCTAATAGGTTTAGTAAAAACTTAAACTTTCGTTTTGAAACTTAAACAAGAGTGTATAAAAACTATTACAACTTTAACACACTTCAGTATTCCATCGGTTACAAATTATATTTTTATAAATCCTGCCCATTCTATATATTAATACTAATAAAATAAAAAAATAAACTATAATTTATTTTTCTTTAATCCTCAAAATGTAATTTATTATTAAAATTTTATATTTATTTACATATTATAATAAACAGCCGAAATCTAGGAGCCGATCCAGAGTAAAACGAAATTATGATAGATAAACACATGCCTACTGATATCCACAAATACTGGTACGTCGTTTTTCTTTTGAATAATAGTAATTCTAATTAAATTAATTAATTTTATATTTTTTAGTTACTATTTTATTTTTTTATATTTAATTCATTAATTTTTTAAACTTACAATAATTAAGTATACTCGATTATGTAAATAATATTTTTCCATTACTTAAATCAATTTTTTTGCATTCAATATTCATTTAAATTATTAATACTCTAAATTTATAAATTTCATAGTATTAGTAATTTTTTTTACTATTATTAAATATATTTTTTTTATTTTGTCTGCATAAGTAGTCTCTATACTTCTGGATACTCCTTTTCATATTTTCTTTTGTGATTAAAGCATTCATTTTTTGCTATAATTTAAAGTATAATGTTTTTAATAATATTTACATATATTTTCTTTAGTACATAAATAATGTTTAAAATTACAATATAAATTATATTTTCCTCGGCCTCCGGGCACCAGGAAACTAAGTCTTTTAGCGTACTTCTTTTATCGCGACTGAAAAGTATTTATTAATAAATATTATTTATTGTTATAAGAAATAATTTTTAATATTTAATCCATACGTCAAATAACAATACATTGTTATATTTGTACATGGTTACATTCTAATATGTGCTATAGCGTAATAGTTTAAGTAAAAATCGTTTTGAAATTTAAATGAGTGTATAAAAACTATTACAACTTTAACAGACCTCAGTATTCCATCGGTTAAAGTTTTAAAATAAATTGTTGTAAATAAAAAACATTCATATTTAAATATTATTTTTTGGCGGCACACCGCGGAAGGAGCAACGATGAGACTCTATGTCCAATGTTATTCGTATTATTCTATTTATGTTATAATGGAATCTATACGTGCACCTATTTACAATTTCGTAGATTGTTCAAAAAGTAATGATAAAAACGTTATATAGGAAAAAAATTATTTATTTATTCATTCATATTTACATGCACTTTTTCAAAGTAATCTCCCTCGAATATAATTCACTTTTCCATCATTCTTGCCACTTTTTAAATACGAATGCCAGACCATCTTTCTCGAGATCTTTGCACCATGCCTCCACAGCTTTGATGACCTCTTGATTGCTGTTGAATTTTCGACCCCTGAGTGGATACTTGATTTCAGGGAATAGCAGAAATCGCACGAGGCTAAATTTAAACTATACGGAGGGTGGGGTATAGTTTTGATGCCACGAACATTTAAAAAATTCACTATAGTATTGGTGACGTGGGGCCGTGCATTATCATAATGCAGTAAAATTTCATTAATTTTCTTATGCAGTCGCCTTTTGTTGAAATGACGCATAATCGTTGTTAAAACCGATCTATAATAATCTGCCGTAACTGTTCGGCCTTGGAGGACAGCGTGTTATTTGACGCCAAACACTGTAGTTGTAACAAAACGTAAAGTCCGTATAGCTTTTTCATTTTGTTAACTTTTATTTATGAAAACAATAATAATAATAATGACGATAACAATTATTATTGTTTTTTTAATATTACAATCAGGTGTACAGTTAATACATATATAATAATACTCGTTGTCGAGTTTACAAATCTTCACGCGACATATATATATATATATATATATTGCGGTGTATTACTCACTATGCCGAGATGTCAGTGTTCGTACTAGGAGATTTACACAAGAAGGCCAACGTGCTGACCAAAGTATGCTGTATTAGTAACGTAGCCTATGGTCGCGTCGAATGAGTCCTAGTACTTACGAACACACGGGTGTAGAGAGAAGGATAATTTTGTATCGCACACGGTTGATGGACGTGGAGGTCTGAGCAACAACGTTGGGTAAGGCACGAGACGTACTCCGAGCGGACACTGGACGGATGGTGGCACGTTCAAACTCGGACGGCGACGGCTCACGCTTTCAGTAGTGACGACTCCTATGCTCTTCGGCTGTACGGGTGACTGTTGAGCTGCTGCCTCTCTGCCAACGTGTACGGGAGAAGTACCCGGTGAAACTATATATTAGATATACGTATGATACGTGATTTCTTAGTATCAATCGTATCCATACATCTTACATTGATAGCACACCCAGGTACGGGGGGGGGGGGGAAATGTTGATTTTACGGGGCAGATCTCGGGGCCGTTATATACGTATTACTTCCCTACGTTAGCAGCAGAAGTGTGTAATAACTAGGGAACGGATTTATATGTAATAAAAATACATAAATATGTACATATGTATGTAAGTATAATTTATAAAATATGTACTAAAACCATCCAAATATGTAGGAAAAAAATTTAATTAAAAAAAAAAAAAATTATAATTATCAAATTATCAAAATGATTTGTTGCATTGAATTATTACAATATATTTTAAATTATCAAATATTAAATGTCGCCTATTAGATCTGAAAATATTTTTAAAACGGTTAAATGATCGTTCCACATCAACCTACGTCGGTTGATTAAAGCATATTTGAAAGGCATAATATTAGAAGGCGATAATTCCAAATTTTTAGAAGGGTGTCTGCCACTCATTATGTCATTGATTGATTTAAAATAAATATGGCCTGAAATTTTTTTCGGTAAAAATAGGAATTTTCTTTTTTACTACTTCTCCTATTGGTCCGTTTACGAGTTTTCATTTTGCAATCCTTGATTCGACAATTTGCATACTTTCATTCAAGGACATATTTTTGTTTCTAATTTTGTAAATGTATGTGCAATAAAACTAAAATTCACTGAGATGAAAATTAAATTAGTTTTCAATGTTTCATTTTGCATATAATAATATTTTGAGCTTTTCTAATAGCGATAGAAGTTCTGGATATAAATTTGAAATAATTTCTTGTATTTTTGTACGAAGAAGACGTATGAATGATGAAATAATAAAATATGTTTAAAAATATTTACAAATTAGTGAAATATGTAAAAATATGTAAAATAAAAGTAGCATCATATTAATAGGAATGATTTAAATCATGAACATTTCTTATCAAATTTTAAATATCTCGTTTTAATAAAAATATGTATTTACATATAAATCCGTTCCCTAGTAATAACCTTATTGAAATTGTGTATGTGATATACCGCGTGTTACAGTACCGATCACTGGTCGATGGTCTCTACAGGCGGGGACGGTGACTTCGTGATGTCAATCACAGGTGTGCGACGATATCGCGGTATGTATCATCGGATATTACACGAGCACGGATTAATACAGCCCTCATGGATATATCTTTCAACAGGCGGCACCGACGGACCGCGGTAAAGGCGAAACGTGCGCGTACTACTGGTCGCGATGTGCATCAGCGCTATAAACCTTAGTGGCCGAGGGATATTGGTGGAACGCGGGAAACGAAGAGCGAAAAACGATAAGTATTTTCAATACTTTAACATAGTGGCCGATGGACATAGATACAATATATAATACAATAGAAATGTCTCGAATACTAATATTTCGATTGTTAAAAACATTCAGTTATGCCCATCATTATTTGATACAATAATACGAGAATGGGGCATAACGAACGGTGTGACACTGCTATTACATTAACGGCCGAACAAATCCTCTAACTTTCATCCGAGAGGACTGTTCACTGCTAACTTTGTTATGTAATAGTTGAGTGCTTCGGAACTTGTGTTCAGACGCCGTTTGTATAAACCATCCATGGTACGTTGACTGTTGTAATCGATGGGTTTTCATTATGTATTTTGTTATTATTGTTGTCGACTATCGGTGATCTTGGGTAGTCTTACAGTTTCCTACTGGCTCAATAAGCACTATACAATAGTTAATTATCACCTTTGATGTGTTAATTAACTATCGAGTGGATAAACAATAAGCTTTACTGACACGGGAACAGTAGTTGCTCTGTTGGCAGTATAGTCGGGCTATATGTCGGTGTTGCTCTCTTAATTAATAACGATAAATCGCGTTCGTTACAATGTCTAGCAAAAAATTTCATTTTTACAAATTACATTTCTTTTAATTTTTGTTCAAAATATATTTAAAAATGTATAGTCTTAACTTTCTTACGATACACGAATAACGTAACCGGGAGTTGATTTTCTTTATTTACTTTAGTATAATAGAGCCGATTTAGATTAAAGTGGAGAACCAGTGTCAACTACCTTCGCGCATGACTACATTGTTTTTATTCCAATAGTTCATGTTGATATCATGGGGTTATACTCTCCATGTCTGGGACCCGATCAACAGGCTCAAAAAAGTGGTTGATTGGGTTTCGAGAACACAGTGGGACTGGATGTAATATTTACAATTATGCAAGGGGTCGTTGGCAATAATCGGAATAACTCAAGTAAATTGTCGTCAATAAGCCAACGCGGACCCGGAACTTCATCGATCAAATAATCGGAAGTGGATGAGAATTTGGTAGCCTTAACATCCAATCCAAGAAATAGCACACATAAAAATAGACAACAAATATATACAACTCCAAAATGCCAAAAATGTAACAAGCAAATACCTATCTGTTCGTGCCAAAATTGTCTTTTCTATGGCATGTATGTATATTTGTTTTCGTATCGATTCTTATCGCACGTATTGCCGTGCGGTCGACGATAGCAACAGCTTTCATGGGTTGACCGCCCAGTGAACGCGTGAGATCGTTACTATCCGTGATTGTTGTAATGAACGTTACCACTTTCGTGTGATACATAATGGTGCGTTGCGTAACCGCAGCCATCGTCGGCGACGGTGATAAAACTCCGTGTGCGACCGCCGGCCGGGTACGTAAATCGCATTGTAATCGTCGCGCGTAAATGTTCGTTATTCCACGTTTTCATTGTTTTTTCGGTTATGTTTTAGTAAAAGTTAAAGTCATGTTCTCAGTGCCACAAAGTTTCGTAAGTTCTCGTGTGTTTTGGTTTAATGTGATGGCGCTGAGGCATTTTATCTTCATTGTGGTGTCCGGCGGCGTAGCTTTCGTGGTGAATAAAGTCGTCGGCATCGTCTCGCTCTCTGTTCGTGTTCGTCGTGGTGTGCAAATCGACTGTACCGTATTCAAGTTTTCTTTGGTTGGTCTACAGCCTTCTTTATGAAACCACGTTTTCTGTGTTTCGCGTTCTTCTTGTCGGCCGTTCGGTTAGTGTCGTTCTGCGCAAATAGTATTGCCTTCGTTGAAGTTACCGTGTTCTAGGGTGATCACTTACCAACAGCCATTGTGAATATGGTTGTTTTGTTCATTGTCCGGAACTGTAGACCTTCCATATTCGTTAGTGACTGTGTTTTGCTGGTTGCACATACTAGTAGCTGTGACTTATTTTTCATTCGTACCTGTGGTGTACCGCCGTAGAAACTTGTAGTCACGGTGCTGATGCTGTCGCGTTGGGATAAAATCCGCCATCACACACAGTCACATGTGAGTATTGGTCGACTATATTTGTTTCATGTGTTTTAAGTCCGACGAGCCTAGCCGTCAAAGGCAGGTTAGTTATTTATGACAGTTGTGCCACTGTAGTTACTTTTTATTTATTTTGTAACTTACTTGTTATATTATAAAAATCGAATAAAATATTTTAATTAATGTTTTATATCTGACTAATTATAAATCTATTTGAACATTTTTAATGAATAATAAATCCTTATATAAGTAGTCTCATTTAATATAAAAATAATAACATACTTATTTCTATGTTTCTTTTCAGAACTACGATTTTTCATCATCTAACTATATCAAAATTCTTTCAGGAGCCAGGTAACCATTTTTCATTTGTTTTTTTCATTATTAAATTTTTATTTTTAATAGTTTATATATATGTATATATGATAATTTTGTAACTTACTTAAAATAATTTACATTTTTAGTTCAATAATGTCCGAGCCCTGGTTGTACTATTTGTTTTTTCTTAATGTTTACACTTAACAAGCATGTCTTTACTAGGCACTTCAGAATCAAATACAAAATTCAAATAAAGTTTGCCTATTTGTAATTTGTACTCTACTCCTCCCAAGGGTAAAAGACATCGATGAAGACCTGGATGGTCGTTTCATAAAAATTGTAATGAAGACTTCATGAATTAAATTTATATCTGACTCTGGTGTAATTCTGGCTGCGCAAAAAAAATATGCTGTCATAAAAATTTGAGCTCTACATATGTATATTTTGTGCCATCATCAAATATAGTTATGAGTAACTGACAATAATAAGTGTTCTTCTCATTCTTATCTACGCGATACAATATTATAGAATTTGATGATTACTAATTAGACACTTAAATATAATTTACACTTTGTAAAAGTTTCAATAATATTTTATTTTATAATTATATGAATTAATTAATATAATAATATTACGTTATCACATAATAATTGAATCTTATCAAACCAAGGTAGTTATATTATTTTATTATTTATTATATTATATTGTTATTTTATTATTTACTGAACCGAATTACAATCTATATCTTATTAAACCAATTACATAATATTTATTGAATTAATACAATTTAAGGATTGTTTTTGCAAGAGGACATTATAGTTGTTACATTTATAAATTATAATATTATTCATTATCGTAATTTTCTAAAATTTCTCATACACATTTAAAGTAAAAAGAAATGTTTTTTTAATCTAAATAAGTCTTGCGCTACAATTCATCTTTTGATTATATTTTTTTTTTTTTGAATACTGAACCCTATTATTTTTTATTTTTCTCCTCTTTAGGAATAAATAACACAATAATACAGGTCAATAAATAAATTATTGAACAAAAGGTTTAAAAATATATTGTCAAATATTAACTTTAATTAGATAACTTATTTATTAGTAATTGAGGATTTATTTTGAATACAATTAAAGTTTTTACCTTAATGTCAAAATTTTAAAATTTAAATTTATGGAAAAAGCTCCCCAAGTCGACAGTTGGCCAAGGAATCTAAAATATTAAACATAGTAAATGGTAGACATAAAATAAATTATTTGTGTATTCATTATAGTCATTATAGTTAAATTCGATCATACACCATTAAAAGTAATATTATAACAATAAGTTCTATTTCATACAATAAAATAACGTTCCTGTATCTTTATTGCATTAATCATTGACGTTTTAACAATGATAATTATTAATTCATAATAAAAATATAATACACAGTAACAACGCCTAAGGAACAAATTTTTTAGACTTAAGCTAAAATAAATTACATTAGAAAAAATAAATAAATAAAACAAAATCCAATAAACATCATACTTTACATGAGATAATTATGTAACAAAGTGATCAAATTACATTTATTGAGTACATGTATAAATATACAAATACAACTTTGTGCGACAATTGAGAAAAAATTTGTACAGACGGAAAAGTTTTGTCTTATCTTAAAAGAAAGACTAGAGCATATGGAAAAGGTTCATGGATCGATTGGATCAGTCTTGGTATCACAGAAATATAACTAATATATCACGATGATGATTCCATAAGCATGATTTCATCTTCGGCAGTTTCCCCACCAGTACTTGCTTTCTTTCTAGATCGGTTGTTTACACCAGAGCCAAAGTGACTAATTCTAATAATGAAAACATATACTTTAAATATTTAGCAGTCAGAAAAAAAAGAAACCATTTGAATACTTACACAATATCTGTATCATCATCATCAACATCAGATGCTACTTGAAAGTAAGGATTTGCATTTGTCGGGCGGAATTTATAACCCGTCATCACAAAGAATACAAATGTTGCAGTTTCTTTGGAGAATTCATTAAGCCATTGCAAATGAAATGGAACAGTCATCTAAAAAAAATTGAAATGATTAACATTTTATTTATAAAATAGAAAGTATATGGTATATTTAAAGCTAATATCTCACTTACTCTAAGCATGTAGATTAATATGCGTGTGAAATAGATATAAGAAACAAGCATAACATAAAACTGTTGAAATAATTTGAGTTTCCGTAAATTAATTGCAGCTTTACCATCTGTTTGTGATGCTTCTTGTAAATGACGAATAGACCTATTTAATACATTAAATTATTATTATATGTATTTAAGATATATATTATGTATTAGCAACATTACCAAAGGATAGGAAATAATATCGCAGCACAGCACATGAAATCAACAAGTAAAAACAAATCCAACCAAGCATTGTGCTGTACATCTCCTTCTTCTGATTCTTGAATAATAGCATATGCTACATTAGCTAATACCTACAAAAATACATTATTATATTTGTTTAAATTAAATATTTTTATTATATGGTAAATAAATATCTTACTTGCAAAGGTATAACAATCATGAATATATTTTTGTCTTTATCAGACAATACATGTTTGACAAATGTCATACCAGTACCAATAAGAACAATTGTTATGAACAAAACTGATCCCTTAAGCCTAAAAGAAAGTCATAAATAGATACAATAAAAAAATTAACATTAAACATATACAATTCTTACAAACGAATTGTATAGAAGATAAAGGCCCACGGAGCAATGTGCTGTCCTTTGATTTGAATAAAATGGAAATCCAAACCATGAAAAAACAGAGTAGCTGATTTTAGGAACACTAATAAAGCCATCATGTAGTGTATTTTATATACAGGGTAACTAAAATTGAAAATGTTGTAATATTATTATGTTAGTTACCATAATAAATTTAACTCAAATTAATTTGAAAACTTACGTGGTTCTATACAAAAAATAAACCCATAAAACACCAGCCATAAAGTATATAATCGACATAGAAAAATAAAATGATGGCAATGGTATGTCCCCTGCAGATAAATAATTTCCTTTGGCATTGCTTTCAGTAATAGTTACCTATAAAAAAACCTTATATATTAAACATTGTTAAAATATGGATAATAATATATGATAATAAATTATAATACCATAAAACTTTGTCTAGACTTTGGAAAAATAGCATAATTTGGACAGTTATGATAGTATAAATTATACAATCCTTGATTTGACTTTTCTTTCACATATACAACAAACTTTGGACAAAAAGAAAATAAAATATTGTTTTTAAAATATAATGGTATATCAATATACTCACACTTAAATTGAAATAGTATGGATCCTCACTGTTGAATATTGGTAAAGTCATGTCACTACAGGTTGTTTCAGTATCTAGTAGGGTAAGATTATATTTAACATTGATTTTTTTTTAAAAAAAATTAATTAATTAAAAAGACAAACCATCAAAACCAATCTCCTGATGTTTTTTTAAATCATTCATATCTTTGAATAAATAAAATGGTTCCATAGAAGATGAACAGCTAACTATAACTCTAAACAAAATATGTTTTAATATTAAAATAAAATAACAAACTATATAACACAAAATATTTCACCTTTTTTTCTCAAAAATATAATAGAATCAGTAGTTAATTTATATACTAGAAACTTAAAGCAAAAAAAATACAATACATTTTATTTTTATTTACTTATATGTTTCTATTTACTAATGAATTTGTTTTATTTTAGAATAAAAGTTAATATACTGAACATTTTTTACCACCCTAATGTCATTATCCTATGAAGTTGAAAATGTTCATCTAGTAAATATTGTATATAAATCACTTATTAATCCAAGTTTATCTACACATATCAAATCTAACTTATATTAATTGTAAGTTAAAATTCATATTTCTATTAAATTACCTTAAAGAACTAATTACATTAAATGATGAAAAATAATTGAACAAAATATTTTCTTTTGGATTTATAAGTAACTTTTAAACATATTACATAATATATATACGATAAAAAAATAACAGATACAAATTAAAAACTTACTTATTACTAATGAAATTAAACTTGAAAATGGCAAGGTTAGAATTTTTACGTGTTTCGTATACATTACTCGGCGATTCTATAGGACATATTTCTTGTTGGAAATCGACATAAGGATTTCCTTCGTCAAAAATTGATTTTTCCAACAATAATCCGTGCTAAAATAATGATGATTTAATTTTAACATTAATCAAACAAACATAACTGAATAATAATAATAACTCACAGTTTCGTTTAATTTATTGAGAGGCAAGTGAAAATTTTTGATTTCAACTTCCAAAATGCCACCATTATAAAATCCAAATGTGGTCAACGCTATATAACGTCGATCATCGTCCTACGTCGAAACAAAAAAAAAAAAAAAAAACAAAAACATTTTCCGACTGCTTGCAAAACGAAAACCCCAGAATTATCATAAAAATTACGAGTTATACTCACTTCAATCTTCAGCGTATGGATCTTTGCCGTTACTTGAACAATCAGCGTCGTCATCAACAAAAAGTACAAGGCAGTGCGGCGGCGGTCGGAGAACATGGTCAAATATTGCGATTGACGAACGTATTGTTAACGGAAAAACTAAAATTTGCTTACAACATGGCAATGCAATGTTCGGGTCGATCGTACGTATTCTGTACGCACCGAGGAAACGATTGACGGTCTTGTATATTACGCGGAATCACAGTATTCGCCAAAACCGACACGAAAACAGAGGACGACTGCGCGATTAGTGATTACGATGATTTTATCGTGATAAGCGCGTGATAGTCCAGTGCAATATAAACAGCGTTGCGCTTAGATGATAAAAAATTATCTACACACAGATGGGTACGGCAGAAATTGTATTTATCTAGATATAAATAGATGCGATTATTTTTATCTAGACAACTAACCAAGACATTGGGTATCTCGAAATTTAAATTTATATTCAATAATTGAAAATTAAAATAAGTTTGTGTTTTCGTTATAGCTGTTCGCAAGGCCGGCGATCATTAGCGGCCTCGCCGTTATCATTGTTATTAATTATTATTATATAAAAATTATGCATATCTTGCACTTTGTATCACGCACCTGTGTTGTCGTTTTTCCCGTCTGTAAATTATTGTAATCGCGGTATTTCTGCCTTTTTTTTTGTGTTACGTGTCGATCGTGATATCGCGCATCTTTTCGTTTTCGGTAAAAATTTGTCAAACTGAAAATATGTTAACACGTCTAACGGTGCAATGACTGCAGAGATAAAATATAATTTACTGGTAACCGACTTACTTGTACTGTACTAATATACTTGCTTGTTACTTGTTGACGATTTACTTGTAACCCATTGTTTTCGAGGAAAAAACGTACAGGAATAACGAAAATGGTTTATACGATTACAGTACAACTAGAAAAAGTTTTTATCGCCTTGTAATTGCGGTAGTAGACTGCGGCTTTTTCGTGGTATTTATGAACGAAATAATATGTATTACAATTATAGAGTCGTACAAGAAAAATTATAATTCTATATTTTTTATTTTATGTTGATCCTCAAAAATTTGCCGCACCGGGGCAATTGCCCTCCCGTTAAACACGACTCTGACCAGTGGCCATTGTCGGGGCTGGACTGGATCAGAAATTGAACGAGTCAATAAATCTCAAGCTTTTTCAGTAACACCAGATGAAACTACCGATATTGCTGGCATAGAACAAGTCTCTATGTGTGTAAGGTATTTAAATTATGATGACGGTAAATTCAAAATATGTGAAGATTTTTTAACATAAAAGTCATCGTTCAAAATAAGCTTTTGATGTTTTTACTCATCTTTTTTTTGATTTGCTAATAAGACCCCTAAGCTCCAAGTGCCCGTGGGCCCCGGCATAGCCTAAGACGGCCGGGTATACGGTTAGCAAATAGGTTAGCAATAATTGTTGGTAGGTACATCGTCTCGCTTATAAACTATTTGTTATTATATGTATTCAAAGAAACCAAGTGGAAGTAATGCTTTGGAAAAATTAAAAACAGAAATGGATTTATGTCTTGTACTGGTACCGACAAGAATTTTTACACATAAATAAGAAATAATAAAGAATATTATGTTTACAAAATTTGCATTAATATCCAATATTTTTGAAACATGTTTTTCTGATCATATTTTATGGTTTTCATAATACTACTAAAATTATGACTGCATATGAATTGCATCCTCGTTATAAAAATTGCGATTTGTGACATACGAATTGCGTCCCGGGTTTTCAATACGACTATTCTAATTGCGTCCCGATTATCTGATATCAGAATATATACCTCTAATAATCTCGATCAATAATCGATACGACTATGTGAGTACTTACGAAATAAATGTAATCGGTTAGTATGTCTTTCGATTCCGTCTCGTCGACAATCGTGCGCAGTTCTATTTCTATTTAAAAATATGAGCTTAATTGTGAGTGACTCTATGATAGTTCATTTTATTATTAATAATTTTTAAATTTTTTATAAACGATTTATTCAGGTTTAATTTCACGGACAATAAATAATTGTAAAACTTTCCATTAAAAATTCAACGGTATGTTTTATTCTACTCATCCAAATATCTACAAATTTATTGATAAATTTAAAAACGTACAAAAAGTTACTCACAAAAAAATTCGCAGTAGTATTCAAAGAAAGAAAATAAGACATGCAATATGTGAAAAATAAAAATTTTTAAGAAAACAAATGATTAAATACGACGTGAACAAAATATCACGTTTTAGTTATGTCAAAACAGTATCGTTCAAATTTTTACCGAGCCATAAATAATATATTAACATATATGTAACTTATAGTTTTTGAATTTTTTTTACATATTCTTTTATTTTTAAATTTAACGACGAAAACAGTATTTTTGATGTATATAATTACAAAATGATAAAAAAAAAATATGTTTAACTTACCTTTAGCAATATAATGTTTTATGTTACTATTACAGTCCTAAGTCTGTACTAAATAGGAAGAAAAATGTATTTACATTGGACGCAATTCGTTTGCTGCGAAGATTATATATATATATATATATATATAGCCTACATATCAGGGATCGGGAACCTTTTCATAGAAAGTAGCCATTTTTTTTTAGTCGTAAATTTTTCGTCTCAAATGAGACATTTTGGTTGTCCATGATGTTTTGGACAAATGCAATAGTATCAGTCCACTCACTTCTTTTCTCTCTATTTTCCTCTTCAGTTGTACGCTTTTTGTTTATAGACATCTTATTCACAATATTGCTATGTTTTAATACGGTGAAAATTTTATAGAAATGAATAATAAATATTGTGGGGTTATTATATATCAAATAATATTTTATTTTTACAAGAAATAAACATCGTTTAAGAAATTTAGAACTATTATCACAGTGATAACGTATAATATAATTTATATTTTACGTGTCTCGATATTGATGCATTTTCCGAAGAGCCATTTTAAAACTTCCTATGGACGGGCGATATTATTAAGAAATTTTTGGGCGTATTTAATTCATAAAACGGTACAAATGATCAACTAACCAAACAAAAATGTCTCTATTTTATAATATATAATTTACATTTTTGAAATATATGTCTGATATGCAACATTTAGACACATAGCATCGTTCGAAGAGCTAGAATTATATTTGTTTAATAGATAAATATAGTAGTTATAAATTATATAAAAGCTGCATCAAGACTTTTATACCGAATACGGCAAACAGCACATGCGTAGCTTATACTTACAGTACCATGACAAACCTGTGACACATAGGTCAAAAATGGTTATTTTATGCAAATGTTTTTTTTGAACCCTAAATTTTGTTTTAAAATATTTAAATTAAAATATGTTTTATGAAACAAAAAAAATTACTAACATTAACTAATGTATAGTTTGTATTCTTCTGTAAGTACAACATGGGAAATTCAACCGCTGCATAAATACATAATCAATATGGTATTAAGTATAAGACATTAGCATTGATTATATATTATTAATATTTATTAGTATTAATAATCAATGGTATTAGATACAATACATATAAGCATACAATCGCATGGGGTTTAAAAATTTCTTATAAATAAAATCAATGCTGACATACAAATGATAGATAAATTTATTCAAATATAATTATATTATTACACTAATAAAAAAAATATAAACAAAACACACATCATTACAAAAAAATATTATACAAAAGTGTACTGTTTAATATATTTATACCTAATATAGATAGTTTAAAATATAATATTTATCAACATAACAAAAGGTTCATATATATAATATATAAAGTATAATTAAACCGAATGTTAACAACACATAAAAAATAGGCACTTAAAGTTTAATTTGTTATCTCGTATTCTTAAATACACGTAGGAAAAAAACGGTTTAAGAAAAAATACAATGCAAATAATTTAACGATGATAATGTACACATGTATGTATATTTTTTACTTTCGTTTTATAAATCAGCATTTTTTTACATACACACATACGGGGTTTACAAAAATATACTACCTACGATGATACGTACAAATAATTATAAATACTAATATTTAGCAAACTATTATTTACTAATAATATTATATTCAAGATGTTTGCGTCTCTGATCATACTTATGTTGAATAATTATATATTTACTGCACGCACATAACTACTATTTTATTTACGTAAAATATATTTCTAAACTAATGCCACAACATAACATATACTGCTTACGTATGGTTTAATATTATTTGTTGTTACGAGTGCGTACCGTACACAATAGTACCGTACCGGTTTTCAATTATGGACGGATTTAAAGTTCGCATGCACGAAATACAATTTGAAGTACTCTAACTTAGTATGATTTCGAACGATTGATTTTCACAGTAAACATAAATATAAAACAATTAATTAATTAATGAAGGTTATATTGCGATGATTATGTAAAAAAAAATATAAAAACACATACTGGTCATGTACGAGTAGTATTTATTCAATTGTTTTCCTGCAAGAGCAATGAAAGATTTGGGATGTACAATAATTTGTGATAATTTTACGATGATAAAAAAAATGGTGTTTGTAAACGATAATATTCTTCGTATAAAAAAAAAATTAATTAAAAATTCAGTGTTCGTAATAAAAATATTATTTAAAAATTAACAAAAGAAAATTCCGTGTATGGATCTTGCCAGTGATTATTTTCGTGCGAATAGTAAAGTTAAATTTTATTAATTGTACACGATGTTGCTGTAATTTTTCTCAAACGTGTTTCCGATTAATAATTGTGAACAAATATATGGTAAAAAAACGATGATTTTTTTGCGAACAAGATATCTATCAATAAAAGTGTATATGTAGATAGTATAAAAAATTAATTTTGATGTACAGAAATAAAAATATACTTTTTTAAAACAATAATCAACCGTATTCGTCCATAAAAGCGACAAAATAATAATTGGAAAAAAAAAACTTATTTGTTAACAACAAAGGAAACTACGTTATTTTTTATTTTTTCATTATTTTTTATAAACTACATTATTTATTACATACTATATTGTTATTTACACGCAAACTGGTATGAGCACACATACTCCCGCGAACACGATTCATTGTTTATTCGATCCCGTGAGCGAAAATCATAATGAGACCAGGTTCGGCCATCATCTCATCGCTTACCATGATATTATCGCAGGGCAAAACGATGACCGCTTGTTTTCCGGGTAAACGCTTGCAGTTGTAACGGTCGTAGTGCCGTCTGTTGTGTTGGCGTGTTTCCAGAGACGACAGACCGGAGGGCCAATTGCGTTCATGACAGTTTTTCACCAAGTCGTCTAGTATGTGAGACGGACAGCCGCTTTCGATCAGTGCTTGCTTAATATTGTTCTGTATCATAGACAAAAAAAAAAAAAACCGCGGAAATTAAAAAACGGTTTGGTAACCCCTGATTCCGAGCCCATGTCCATTTTTGGGCTACAGTATTTATCTGCGAAGGTTTATTAACGGAAAGATAAAACTAATAAAAAAAAAAACTAATACGAACAACCATCGTTCAGAATCTAAAATCCATACGTTTACGTTAAACTCATCGTGCCAGTTGCAAAGGTATATGTCACGTACCTGGAGGTATTCGTCGGGCGTAGAAATCATTCCTCCCCATCGGGTCACTCTAGCTTGCGGTAAGGTGTTCGACCACCGTTCGATCTCGTCCCTTTCCAACTCGTCGTTCAAGTCTATAGCGCTTGGATTGCACACCCGTATAGATCGCACGTAATTCTGGAAAAATTTAACATAAACGGTCAAATCGCCACACATCGAATAAATAAAAATTTTAATTTAAATGCAAAAAACCTCTAGGCAACTCGGCCATATCTTAGCGACCATTAGTATGACGGAACACAAGAAATCAATGATCATCGAACAAAAATTCATACTGCCAAGTATCTATACTGATATTTGCAGAACGAAACCTCTTCACTATACTACGACTGATTATACAATACATTTTAACAGAATGCGTATTTTTTTTTTTTTTTTTGTACATAGTTTTTATATGGTCATTATTAGAGATTGTGTACATGTTGAAAAATATTTCGGGTAATTAATAATTATTCTTTAAATCTTGTTAAAAATTGTCAATGAGTCATTTATTTATTTATCGATTGATATGTATAGACGATAAACAATTGTCTTTATAAAGGTTAGTTAAAAATTTATAAAGGAAATTATCAGTTATTAGTTATCAATTAATCAGATGATTAACTACATGATGTATATTTATATTAAATAGAAAAATTATAATAACAATACAAAAAAAAAAATCAATTACAATTATAATTCGATAAATTACTAAATAATTTAGTTTACAATAACTAAACGATTACAATATAAATGTTTCAAGGGTAGCTTACATAGAAAATACAAACTAACATTTAAAATCATTATTAAATTATAAAATGTTATTATTTTCAACACTTATAATATTCAAGTGGTTAAGTTTATTCTCAATATTTATTTACATACAACATATCATAATTATTTACGTAGAATTTTGTTTTAATACTAATATTTTGTAAGAAATGTTCAAGAATGGAATTAAAAAATTTTATATTAACTATATTTATTATATTAAAGTGAAATTATAATTATATTATAAAAATATTTAATTAAATATTCTTATACTATAATATAAATTCCAAATATTTACGAGCTAGTGTAAATTAACAACTATCTAAAATATAATACTTTTTATATATTATACCTAATAATTCCTTTATTTCATACTATTGTGATTTGTAAAGTATTGTTATATATACATATTTATTTTTCATAAAACTATTTACATAAATAAAACAAAAATATTCAAATTTTTCATTTCAAATGATATTTTTAATTTTATATTGTTCAAAAGTATAGGTAACTTCGAAAACGTTTTCAGATTAATTGCACAAGTCTATAAATATATTATATATATTCACGTGTGAATCCAATTTTTTTTTTAACAAAATTACAGTTAACCTATATGTGCTTCAATAATATTTATTCCAGACAAAACTAAAATACGACCATACTGTAAAATTTAGAACGAATAGTTATCGCACTGTAAAATGAAATGATAACAAGTACCGCCGATTGATGATAACAACGTGTTTGAAAAATAAATGGATTACAAATACATTATTTCTGTGTTGTAGGCCAAAAATACGGGACAGACAGAATAAAACGTACATTTTTACAAATAGTAAACCTCAATACATTTTTTTTATAAAATCGTAAACATTTTCATTGTTTCATAATTCAGTCTATTTTTAACTTTTTTTTTTTTGTGAACCCGGTCAACTTCGTTTAATATGACATCAAATCAAAAGAAACAAATTAAATTAGGTTTCGATTTTTCTATAGTTCCTGATTTAGTAGCGTGTATACAACAGTTGACGGAATGGGGATACTCGTACGCGTGCATTCCATTGGTACATACCAAGCTGAAACCTGACCATAACAACAAGGAGAAGACTTTGGATCGGTCAGAATTAGTTACCAGAGCTGATGTGATCTTAAAAGCAGAAACATGGAACAGGATGGTCATCAAGCTCTCGCCAGACTTAGATTTGGATGCTCCTGATCATGAAGTAAGAAAGCAGAATGCATTACTATTTAAACAGGAAGTATCATATTCATCATATTTGAATGTGTCTGCCATCATGTTCAATTTGCCATTGACCAGTTGTATACCTAATCTATCACGTCTGATTAATGTCGCACTGAACGAAAATGTTTTTGTTAATTTTTTCGTACGAGTACCTATGAACAGTAACAACAAAGAAGTAGATACATGGAAATTATGGTCTACTTTCAGCGCTGCTTGTGACTATAATAAATCCATATACTTGGCATTAGAAGTTAGTGCGGATCTCCCTGATGAACAAGAATTGAATAGATGGCTAGGCGAACCTATCAAGGCAGCCATTGTCCATACTTCCATATTTTTAACCAACAAAGCAGGATTCCCAGTTTTTTCCCGTCCACATCAGGTTTTTATCAATAAACTATTTGATCTAGATGCTTGTATATTTATAAGTGGTGACTCAAATCAAAATATGAAACCATATTTTGAATACTTGTCATTCGTTCATAACAACAATAAATCTAATACGCTTTATAGTTATTCATATGCGTATGAAGATTTGTTACAAGTTCCTTTACAGCCACTAATCAATGACTTGGATAACAATGTATATGCAGTCTTTGAACAAGATCCAATTAAATATCAACAATATGAAAAAGCTATAACAAAAGCATTAATTGACAAAGCTAAAGATGGTAATACTAATGTATTAACAATATGTGTTGTGGGTGCTGGTCGTGGACCTTTGGTGAATGCCAGTCTTAAAGCATCAGACAACGCTAAAGTCCCTGTTAAAGTCTATGCAATCGAAAAAAATGAGAATGCTTTACATGTATTGAATTATAACAATGAAAATTATTGGCATAATTTAGTTACAGTAGTTGGAGCAGACATGAGAACATGGAAATTTGAAAAAAAATGTGATATATTAGTATCTGAACTATTGGGTTCATTTGGTGACAATGAATTATCACCAGAATGTGTAGATGGTGCTCAAAAGTTTTTGAAAGAAGATGGTATTAGTATACCTTCATCATATACATCTTATTTGAGTCCATTACAATCTCAGACTCTGTTTAGCAATATGAGAATGTTCAAATGTACTACAGCAATGGACAGTCAACATGAAAATTCTGAACAATTATATGTTGTGAATATGCGCAATATGTACATAATAGCCCCTGCTCAACCGCTATTTACTTTTGATCACCCGAGAAATGACTTAGAAAACAACAACGATCGGTATGCAACACTTACATTTGATATAAAACAAGATTGTACTTTACATGGGTTTGCTGGATATTTCAATGCTATTTTATACAAGGACATAAATATAAGCATTGAACCTTCAACATTTAGTATAGGTATGTTTAGTTGGTATCCTGTGTATATACCAATCAAAAGCAGCATAATGTTGAAAAAAAACGAACAATTGAAAGTGCATTTCTGGCGCCTAAGTGATGCTACAAAAGTTTGGTATGAGTGGAGTATATCAAAACCTAATGCCATGCCTGTGCACAATCCAAATGCACGTTCCTATTCTATGCAACTGCATTGAGATAATATAAAATTAAGATTTCTTCATAATTGTTTATATAAATAATATGTTATTAACTAAAATAAAGTATATTATGTAAATATAATACTAAAATGTACTGTTGAAGTTGTTTTTTTTTTTTTTTTTTTTAATGTTTTCTTGTAACACAATTATTAGACATTATACTAATACCTGTAAATTGAATTTATAAAATGTAAATAAATGAACAACAGCATTTTGCTAAGTACAAAATGTATGATATTATGTACAAAATACTTCTTATTCCAACAAAATATGGCACAGGATTAATAATAAAATCTTAATAATAATATTTTCTTCAAATATAAGGATTTTATAAAAGTAATTCACTAATTCAAATAAATAGTAAATGTAATACAACAAAAAGTAAAGTTAAATGATCCATTTACTTTTTGTTCTTTCTCAAATAAAAAATATTAATTTACTATCATAAAAATTAAAAATTTAGTCTCAAAGATAATAAATTTTAATCCATTCAAGAAAAACCTTATTTTAAAATATAAAAATATTTTTCAAAATACTAAAAAATGTGTGATTAAGATAATAATACTTGCACCTGTTTAATCCATAATAAATATCTATTTTTATTTTTATTATTTATTTATTTATATTTAATTATAATAAATGTTAGGTGTAATACATTTTTTCAATTAATCATATTCATATATCTTTATGCTACGAGTGGTTTAATATAACAAATTAACTATTCCTTTACATTTCATTGAAAATTTATTGAATAGAATGAATAGGTTATATCATGAAAAATTTAATAACAGTCTAAAGCTTACTAGTAAAATATCAGTTTTAATCTATTGGAAGTAAAAATAAACATTTTACCTTTAAAACTCGCATTTCATCTTTAATGCTAGTCATTTCAAGTTTTTGGTGGGCCATCTCTTGTTGCATATCATTTATTTTCTGATTTTGTTTTTGTACTAATTCTCGCAATTCTTTCACACAATTATGATCCTTTTGATTATAAAAAAGTTTTATTAAAATAAAAGAATAATACAAGATTGTAAATAATATGAAAATGTACACAAACCTTATGTTCGTCTTTCGGTATGATTAAACCACATCCCTGTTCACAGGGAAATGGTCTTTTAGGATTATATTCACATTCAGTTAGATGAGAATCTAATGAATCTAATTTGACAACACTATTACATCCGAAGTTGGAATTTTCACAAAATATGTATAATCTAAACATGTAAAATAAAAACAAATATTAGTCATTATTATACTACCATTTGGTAGAACAAATGTTATAACACTGATCTAATACTTTTTAAATTTCTTTAGATAAATCACGTCTAAATCATAAGGTGATGAATAACAATTGAAATAATAATATTTAGAAATTCAAAGTATAAAATTACCATTTTTTCTTACCACCTATTATATTTTAAAAATATGAAATTATATGAATGTTTTTATTTTTAAATTTATCGAATTATAATATTTTAATATATAGAATCAAACACACGTTCAATTGATTGAGTAAAGTGGTTTTATAGGTCAAATAAATTTAGGAACAGAATGCACAAACCTGCTAAGTAAATTTTTTAAAATTCGTGGTACTGGTCGCAGCTGAAGAACATTGACAGAGAGTCTATCTACTGGACACGTTGACTGTCGAAGTAGCCATTCGAGTATACAACCTTTACAGTATGCATGTTCACATACAGGTGCCTAGAAACAATAACAGCTTAATATTATAATATTTTTTAACAAATGATAGTCACAAACAGTAGCGGCGAATTACTTTATTTCAAAAAAGTACTTAATATATTGTTATGTAATAAATATTTAATTTTACTTGAACTGGGTCTTGCAGTACTCCGGTACATATGGGACAAAGAAGTTCTTCGTCTACTTCACCAACAAAACGTATAATGTCAAATCCCATCGCTATACACGAAATTAACAGATTCTTAACCGTAAGCGAATTGAAAAATTAAAAAATGTTACACAAAAAGCCCGACAAGAACGTACAATTTACGTATAAGTAGGTAACTAACAACGAAATAACATCAAGAACTAATCATACAATTATTTACTTGTTCAAACGTTGTTATCAATACAAGTCTTATTTTTGAAAATTGTCTTATCGAGGTCATCTAACCTAACCCACAGATATCTATAATATAGATATCTGTGACCTAACCTAACCATAAGAACCAGAAGAGTTTATATCATAGTTTTCCTCGTAGAGCAGTGGTTCCCAACTGGTGTGCCGCGAGAAATGTTATTAAATATCGAAAAGTGTTTTATTTCATGACATTTATTTTTTAAAAAATACAACAACAAAAAATTATTTTAAGAACTATATTATTTAATGTAAACAAAGGAATATTATATCATATAATGAATAAATTAAATTTATTATTATTATTATTACTATAATATTTAAGCAGTTTAAATGATAAAACATATGAGCCAAGTGAGCTACTTTGGCACACCACTATGTGTCGTTCAAATACGCAGCAAGGGTCTGGTTTTTCAGCGCTAAAAAGTCTTGACAGCTCGTTTTCATAAAATCTCTGTAAGACTTTACCATTCGACAGCCAACGCATCTCCGTATGAAGAACCAGAGTATCATATTTGGATCCAGCTTCATAACAGATTTCTTTGAGAAGCCCTCGATTTAACGAAATTTACCATGTTTACAACTAGGTTCAAAACACATTTCGATTATGCAGGAATAGTCTTCACCATTATTGCCTCGCGGTGTATAAAGCAATATGTTGAGCTCACATTTGGAAATTTTTGATTAACTTTAGCAAAAAATCCTTAACATTTTCCTGTCAGCAGGTACAAACACAAAGAGAGTTTTTCCAAGACAGCCCATTGTCTGTTAAAGTATTGGATATTGAATCATATACGTCTGCTTCATTTGACATTGTGGGTAGTTCAGAATATGCCAGAAATTGTTTGACTTAACTGAGTCGTCATCAATGAATCTGATATAGCTTAATAATTTACATTTCTTTCCAATATCAGTTGACTCATCGAGCTGTAGTGCAAATAATCTACCGTCACTTAACTTTTGACGCACATGGCAGACATGTCACCAATACGCCTTGATACTGTATCATTTGACAATGGAATCACAGATATTTACTTATTTGCATTGTCACCCAGCATAGATTTATCTATTTCTTTGCAGGCCGGTAAAATAACGTCTTCTGCGATAGTTTTGCTACTATTTCAGACACTTTATAACTGGCCAATAGTGCTTTCTCACTAATAATAGCTCTACGTGCCATGGTTTTTGCTTGTTTTTCTTTCAATGACAACAATCAAATTAAGAAATTTTTATCTTTTCCAAGTAGATGGCTATGTTTACTACGACATAGTTTTTATAACTGTACAGTTTTCGGAAACAAATTGAAAATACCAATTGACTAATTGTGCTCTAATTGTGCAAATAAGACGATACATGTTTAGGCACGTGGCAATAACTAATGACTTCACTAAAGTTGCCGAAATTTTTGTGGTTGTCAAGTGCGCGAGTGTGCCGTGAAAACTTGTGATGTATAATAGTGTGCCGTGAACCAAAAAAGGTTGAGAATCACTGTCATGGAATCTTACTTGATGGATACAGAAATGCACCGCTGATTGGGCTTATGCGCTAGATATAGATAATACAGATTTATTAATATTTTAAGCAGCAAATTTTAATTTCAAAGCAAATAATAATTCAAAGTAAAATAACCCGCAGGGCTTCGCCCCACACCCCTTTCCATTGCATAATTAAAACTTATTACTTAGGTAATACTTAAAAACGTATACAATTCCACTACTATTACGGGTCGATAATAATCGTTTTATGATAATTGGGTCATTAAATAATATATAATACCACTGTGAGATCTGTCCGCGTACGAGAAGAGCCGTAAGTTGTTTCGCACGTGGACGGAGCACAAATGGTCGGCTTTTGGGTCTCAGCACAAGCAGTACTGGTTGTTCGCGAACAACCGATCGGCGGCGGTGGGTGCGACCGCAAATGCATCCGGATGATGAGGTAGGGCATGTCCATGATCATTCTGTTCGCCGATTGAACGCGCAGCCACGACGGGACGCGCTGTTGCGATCATTCCGCCGGACCCCCCTCGGGTGCATGGCGACTTCGTTGTAGCTGGCTGCACAGCGCACGGTGGGGTGGTTCGGGTCCAGTCGGATGATGGTGACTGCGTCGTGATCTTGACTGTTGGCCACCGCAGTCGTGGCCAGCCGGAGAAATAGGACGATGGCAATGGGGTGGTCCGGGTACAATCGAATAGTGGTGGCGAAGTCCGGGTCCAGCCCGACGACGATGATGGCGACGTGGTCTTGACCGTTGGCCACCGTAGTCGCGGCCAGTTGATGGAACAGGACGACGACGGTAGTGGGGTTCGGGTACAGCCGGATGGTGGTGGGGTCCGGGTACAGCTGAGTGTTGGTGGCAAAGTCCAGCTCCAGCCTGACGACGATGTCGGCGGCGTGGTCTTGACTGTTGGCCACCGCAGTCGTGGCCAGCCGAAGGAACAGGACACCGTCGGTTTCGTGTCCTGCCTCGTCACACAGTCCTTCGAGCGGTGGCGCCGATCGACATCCCTGCTGTGGTGGTGGTGGCGGTACACGTTGCCGTCGATGGGCCTACCGGCTCGCGCTGCGGCCACGTGGGCGGACTGCGAACACGGCGTCAAGTTCAAGATACCGGTGCCCACCAGCGCCCATGTGCACGCAGTTAACACCATTCGAACGAAGACGATCATCTTGGAACAATGGCAAACAACAATGATGGTTTTGCAAAAAAAAAAAAAAAAACAAAGCATAAACGCGAACGGATTAGCTGCAATATCGTCCGGTGAAACAATAATATAACGTCGCAATGTGGTCGGGCAATATGAAAGCAGATCGATGTTAACTGCGTTACGTGGCGACGAGTGTTACTGGCCAAACATTTATTCCCATTGATTCGTACACATAGCCGGACACTAGATTTTACTAAACATATAGAAATATTGGTGTTGATTTAGCAATAATTAAGATGTTGAATATAAATATGTTCAATTAAGAAATATTTGTATTACACATAACAATAATGACGCGTTCAATTGAGTTGTAAATCATTTGTATTTGCTATTCGTATTCGTCATTGATAATAAGTAGGGTTACTTCTTGTTTTTTTTTATGGTGTAGGCGAGTTATAAATTTGTCTTATGAAATGGTGAAACTAAATACTAAGTTTAAATTTGCATATTTTCTCATATTTTAGGAAAAGTGCATATTTGAGCAATTTGTAGCATATTTGTACATATAACGCATTTTTAAATTTGTCCCTATGTAATATCTGACGCCATTATTGGCTATGGATATTTTTTTTTTGGGGTACATTTTTTATTTTGTAAAGAAGTTTTACTTCAAAGATATTAGATCATTAAATATTGAAAATGTAAAAAAATTAGCCGCCCGGCAACAGCACCTTGTAGCTCCCCCTAAATACGGCCCTGGATCCCCTATACAAAAGTTATGTATACGCCACTGAAGAGGAACATTAATGACCGGCAATATAATATTTAAAACATTTGATGGAATGCTGAGGTCTGTTAAAATTGTAATAGTTTTTATACACTCTCATTTGAGTTTTAAAATTTTTGCTAGAACTATTAGGCTATAGCGCATGTTAGAGTATAACCATTTAAAAATATAACAATATATTGTTATTTGAAATATGGGTTAAATATTAAAAATTATGTCTCATAGCAATAAATAATATTTATAAATACTTCTCAATCACGATTAAAGAAGTACGTTAAAAGAGGTTTAGTTTCTTGGCGCCTGGATGCCAAGGGAAATATTATTCATAATGTAATTTTAAACATTATTTATATACTAAAGATAACATAAGTAGAAATTATTTAAAACATTATACTTTAAATTATAACAAAAAATTAATGCTTCAATAACAAAAGAAAAAATGAAAAGGGGTATCCAGAAGTCTAGAGACTACTAATGCAGACGAAAAAAAAATATATTACTTAAATAATAATAATAAAAATTACTTATACTATTAAATTTATAAATTTAGAGTATTAATAATTTAAATGAATATTGAATTCAAAAAATTGATTAAAGTAATGGAAAAATATTATTTACATAACCGAGAACACTTAATTATTGTAAGTTTAAAAAGGTAATAAATTAAGTATAAAAAAATAAAATATTAACTAAAAAATATAAAATTAATTGATTTAAAATTACAGTTGTTATTCAAAAGAAAAACGACGTACCAGTATTTGTGGGAGTAAGTAGGTACCTATATGTTTGCAGTGCATTTTTTAACTAGTTAACTAGGCGACACAAATGTCGCCCACTGATTATACTGTGTCGACAGTATTTTAAAAGATTGGGCGAAATAATGCGAAACAAACGTGTAATACTATAATCGTACTATGGTATTATACATTAACTATTTTGAGAAAAACATTTTTTGTCGCCCAGTGAAAATTTCTTATAAAATGCACTGTGTGTTTGTCTATTGTAAGTTCATTTCACTCTGGATCGGCTCCTAGATTTCGACTGTTTACTATATATAGAAAATAAATATTATGCTTTAATAATTAATTACATTTTGAGAATTAAAGAAAAATAAATTATAATTAATTTTTGTATTTAATTGGTATTAATGGGCAAGAATTATATAAAAAATATAATTTGTAAGAATAAGAATATTTAACAAACGTGAATAGAATAAGACAAATAACATTGGACATAGATTGTCTGCCTCATCGTTGTTTCCGTCGAGGTGTGTTAATTCGTGTGTCACGGAATATTATTTAAATGTAGAAGTTTTTATTTAGGTACAAAAATGTATTTTAATTATAAAAAAACATTAACCAACTTAATACTAGGTATGTTGTA